ACCAATCACGATTCTCGTTTTTCCGCCCTCAAGCCCGATACACGTTCTACCTTTATTCTGATTGGCTCTCGTGACTACTTCATCTTTGGTTCTTACGATTTGCTCTTCTTTGCACCCTATATTCCTTGTAACACAGTGATTGATCTCTCTTCAGCTATTTGATTTAGAAACTTTTTTAATCCAATGCCTATCAATTTCTATTTGTTTGCTCTTGTACACACATTCGCTTATATCTGTCTCATCGAAATTTTCGCGATTCGTTGCAATTAATCTGTTAATTAAACATATCACATTAAGGTTACCAGAGTTGAGGTCCATCAGGAGAAATGCCATTCCCACAAACACGCACACAATATTCATCTTTTCAACAAAATCCTGCATAATAGGGCGCAAGTTATATCAGTTATGACATAGTAACAGATTCTTCTCAAATAAATCTTGCATAGAGCACAATATCGGCACCTCAGCGAGGCAAATCCATAGCATTCAGTTGTTTAATCTAAATTCAGTAAAGACATGTATATGACATTATTTTACAAAAAACCACCCCATGCGTTGCTTGTTCTTCGCCTTAAAAAAACTACTTGGTTAGTGAAAAATAATGATGTAGTCTATTTGAATCACTTATTACTGGAAACTGCCTCAGCATTCCAAGATGTTTTCGAATCAACTAAGTCAGTTTCAATCCTGTGAGTTTTCTATGATCTCTGCTTTTTTTACTGTGATTCGTTTTTTCGCCTATCTCGTCAGCTGTGACAAGAGATTATAAACTAATAACACCACAAATGGGATGGCGTGAGAGGCGCGGAAAAAGAATTGCGGATGATTAAAAAAAAGCTAACAAAAATAGTTCGATACCGGTTCTATAAAAGCGAACAAATCAACAATAAATGTGACATTATTAAATATGATGACTTTGATTTTTATTCAGATTGTACTAAAAACGATCTTGGTAAACAGATTTAGTTTATACACTTTTTTCATTCAAGGACTTTTTTCACAGCACTGTTGGAGCGGAAACTGACCCAGATGTGAGAACATGCCTCGTACAAGCACTCGACTTCACATATGAGTCTGGTCAATAACACGTAGTGGCAGTTTAAGAGTGTCAAGTTACATTTCTTTGCTGCACACAAAAACTTCATTCTTAGGTTTCTAGGGGTTAAGCTATGTTCTTGTTACAGCCTTACTATGGAAAACCATTAAAGCGATTTTGTCATTTGAAAAAATGGAAACACAAGTCAAATCTTAGAACAACCTAATTTGGAGCATATTTATCTAGAGTACAATTTCATTTCAGACTGGACTGCAAAATAGTATTGGAAGATCTGTAAAAACAAAAGGGAAATAACAGTTTAGTGTACTTACGTGGACAGAAGTTAATTTCCGAATTCCTTCTCAATCTTTTGACTGCGATCGCGCTAAATTACTAGTGGAGTCTGTGGGCTAATTATATTTATAACAACTATACTATCAATAATGCAAGCTATTCATTGGAATTATTGTTTACGCTTATCGACTTAGTTTTTTTAATTTCTATTTGTAATAAAGGAAGTACTTATTTTACCTTGATATATGATATATTGATCTGTAGAAGCAAGAACTAAATAACGATTTAGCCGTTTTCTCCCGAAATTGTATCTCTCTGAGGTGAGACTGATCTATATTCAAACTAAAACAGAGCAGAAATATTAATTATGTATGATTACCATTCAATCAGCTGTACCATCCTTGAACCTAATGGTATTAAGGTAAGAGGATTTATGTCAACATTGCTGTTAAGAAGCACTTTTACCTGTACTCTTTCAAAGAAAGTTTCAATGATTTAAAACCCATGCATTTTATGAAAGCTTAACGATAACCGAGATTACTAATTTTGCATGATGTTGAAAAAGGTAGCATCCCGGCTACCTGGCTCACTGCGAACTGGTACCCTCCCACGTTTGAATCATCTGAGAGACTGAAACAAATATTTTCCCACACATTATCATCGAAAAAGATTACGACGCAGTATATTTTTTCTTTAAAAATCTCTTTTCAAGCGAGGACTTTTCATTACGAGCCCTTCTTCGTGCGACAATGCCCTTGACCTAACAACGGAAGCGAAATTGAGAAAAGAGAAAAAAAGGCCTCCTAACGCCCTTCGAAGGGGTTTAGTAATATACTACTTCCGATTTGCAGCCAATTATAAGACGCTTGTAAAAAAATTCCTCCCCCTTCGATCATCAAGTTTGGGTGTCAAAAGAGAGCAGTCGCGGATGTTGATCCTGCTGGTGTGCGTAGGATGTAACTGGTGATCAGATCGGTGTAATGTAGTAAATGAAGAGCATAAAGGCGGATAAAACGTAGAATCAATGTTGTAAGATTTTCTATCACATTTCTTCGCCGCCCACATTTAGTGAAAAATGTATTCAGATACAGATACAGATCTTTATCGAAGCTCCCTGAGAGGGTTTTTCTGCATCAATTCAAATGGTTAAAAGAAATAAAACTAAAATTAAAGAATATTGAATTATAGTTACAGCTAAATATATATATCAGAAGAATAAAAATATTGAATAATGAAGTTAACCTAATAGCAGCTTAGTAAATTGACGCTTAAATTTCTTGGGATATTCCAAACACCTAAGATTGCTGCTCAATGAGTTCCACAGTTTCGCTTCTCTATAAGCAAAAGACCTCTGACCAGTTGAAAGGCGGCAAAAAGGTATATCCAGGGTATTAGCTGATCGAGTTTTCCTGTCATGAACACAAAAACGTAGCCTAAACTTATTTGCAAGGTAATCAGGAGCAAGATTATGAATGCATTTGAAAACCATAGTTGCGTCATTCAATTTAAGTCTATCTTTAATAAGGAGCCAATTCAATGATTTTAGTCCTTCGGGAATATGGTCATATTTTCTAAGTCCTAGATCAATTCGTCCAGTGAAGTTTTGAACTTTTTATAATTTTTCCATGTTGGAATTGCTGGTATTGCTTTAGACATTTGAGCAATATGATAATTTGCTAAAAACGATCTCTCTCAGGTTTCTCGCCTGCCGTGTTCAGCTCAAGATTATAACAAAAAACTCTCGTTACTGAATGTTTAGTTTGTTGCGTTTGTGTTTTCTTTTCTATTGTGAAATCTATGGTAAGAGTGGGTAGCTGTGTTCATTTCTGTTGACATAACATTTTATTCCTTTGAACGAAGTGCGGCGAAAGTTCCCCTTCGTCAGTGTTCTAGAATTTCGTTGCTGCAGAGTAATTCCCTCAGGAAACCACAAGCTAACTTCTAAAGAAAGAATCAGCTGTATCAGGAGGCACGATGATTTGTCGCCGAGAAGTCATTGGGCAGTTTCACTGCAAGTTGCTCCTCTCCTCAGAGATTATAAAGACAGAGGCTATCGTCGTCGAGCCGGTCAAACGGAAAACGAGTGAGTTTATAGTCATCTGATTCAAATAAATCTCAAATCGGGATTTTAATAGATAAAAACTTCTTTAGTTTAAGTGCAGCATTGCCATATGACCCATTTCGCTCAATGGCAAATAACTGACACCAGTATTCTTGATACAGACTTTAACACAGCACTTGGATTCGCTACCATCTAATTCAATAAAATTTGTGCGGTTTCTTTATTTATCTCGTTGCAGTGCTGTTATCACATTGATATTGCTACTGTTATAACCTTTTAGTTTCTTGAGGGCAGGGGGGAATTGATGGCTCGTGGGATGGATTTTCGGAAACTTAAGTTAGGAGAATACACAGCCCCTTCGAGCTCGTGTTTATGCCAGAGGTTTCGCGCTGTTCGCCTAACAGGATATCGGTCAGTTAAAGAAAGGGCATGAACTTTATTAAAAATTATGTAATCCTGGTAACAAAATACGATGGAAACTACAACTGATAGGATTTTCATATGATACTGAGAAAAGCGCAAATGTAGTCATGTCGAAAGACAAGGAGTATTAGTACATCTCAACTAGTGAAACAAACTACAGTGAGAAGCTCACCATTGTTTGCTTGCGACATGTCAGCTGAAAAGAAAGTTGAACAATCGTTTACGGTGTGGGAACAGGTTCCTTAATAAGCATTCTTTTAGCTTAATTCATTGATTGTCTTCCCTTGATTTGTCTGGTGGTACGTGTTCGTAACAGCCGTCTTCGAAGCCGGTACGGAGCATAAAGCCGACGACATTGAAGACTAAAATCTCCTCAATGTCGGCGATCGAACGCGCCCATTTGGCCATACAGCTACATCCTTTGGAATGTAGTATATAGAAATACCCGATATATGTGTATTATTCTTGTAGTTAACACCATTTAGCACTCCAGCCACGCAATACATTCGTTCTTTCTTCTAGATTTCTCCTTTCTCTACCATAGTTGCCGACGTGTCTTCAAAGTTTTCTACGTCACAAGCTGTAACATGATCGATTTGGCCGCGTGCTTAATGGTGAAACTTTCTGGCCGCCAAATTGTACCTTCAATGCACAAAAGAATGGTCAAGGAGAACTCGCTAGGCGCAAAGGTCGATTATTTCTAATTTTAAATAGAGCTATTAACCTGCATAAAATACGAAAAAAGATTTCGTGTCATGGGCCCTTAAAACCAATCAAGCGCACTTGGGGAAAAACCGACAATATGTAAAAGATTCATTAGTTATGCCCACGCAAGTCGAACGTCGACCCAACGTAACAATCTGCGACCAGGCGTTCTTGTAATTTTCCGGGGAGCGCAATAGTAGTGTAACAACGCCATGAGAGAAAGCGAGGGAAAAAGAACGTCTAATCCAATGACTCGTGCTGTATATTTTCAGTCGTTTTGTTTTTCGCAGTTGTTTCTCTGGCCACAGATTCCTACGCTGCTTAATATCGCGCTTCTCCCCCCCGAAAAAGAACGCTTAGAAATCGCCCGTTACCGCTCGTTACTGGAAGACCTCTGTGTAAATAGAGCGGATAGCCTGGACAGTGGCAGACTGACAGCTGCTTGAGGAGAACTGGGTCGAGGAAAGATCATGACAACGAAGTAAACAATATGGCGGACAAGTTACTTTCCCATCTTTAATCTGCGCCACTATGCATCACTTGTAATATGCACTGATCTTAATAGAAATACATGCACGAAGTTCATCTAAGTTGTTTCCATTCGTCATGCCAAAAAAAGTGGGGAAGAAGAAAGGAAAGAAGAAATCGAGCAAGTCTGTTACTGACCGCGAAAGATCCCTTGAGCTGGGCACTGTACCGAACAAAACCATGGTGCAACAAATGGCATCTGAGACACTGAGTGTAGCAGGTAGCAGTCGTGGCGGTACGTCCTCGAGAGAAAGGGTAAGCCTTAAGACTCTCTAATCTGAGTGATTGACCAAAGTTTACGCTCTTCTGAATATGGTAGCATTTTTGAAACTTTGAAATTTACAAAATTGCAATTTACAAACGTTGCCTTTTAGGAAAGCTGAATTCAAATTGTAGATCACATTTTTGTCCCTCTTTTAGAAAATCATGTAAGCGTCAGTTTGTAATTGTTGGGTTACTTCAGTTAAGTTTAGTTTTCCTTGTAAGTTTTTAATTTATTAACAACCAGTTCTTTCAATATAACTCAGATTTTGTAGATTCAGTTGTATTCACGTTAACTTAAACATTTGCCAGGAAAGTCAAATTTTATAATGTTTAACTTCCTCTTCGTGGGAAATAGCTGTCACCCACTTTTAATAGAGCCTTGATCGAGCGATTGACTAATTTAGGGATCGACTGACTGAAGTTTTTAGGTAAGCGTACGATTATATTCATTAGTGTTTGAGTAATACTCGCAGATGTTTTCAAGCCTGTAAGTATTTCCTAAGTACACCTCTCTTTGTGATATTTTGATTAGCTGTCCCAAGCTTTGTTTGAAGCTGAACTGCGGAACCAAAGGAGATTTATGAAGGGAAGAGTCACAACAAGAGCATATGAACAACTTACACCACAGGAGATCAGAGATCTTAAGTTGGTCTTTGATGTATTTGATACAGACAAAAGTGGGTTAGTATCTTGTTTATATGTACAAGTACCTCACAGAAGTCTATTGGTTGATCCTGAGTAAAACTGATTGGGTCATTGAGTTTAATCATGTACTATTCTGATAAATATTTTGTATAGAAAACCATTTCCTTAGTTCCCACTGGCCATTAAACTTTAATTTTGGTGCAAAATATTGCTTATCAAGGAAGTCTGTTCCTTTTTTGGTGATAAAAATTCAACTGTATTCACTCTTCCCTGTCAGTATTTAATACTATGGGGATAATTTGTGGATCAACCAAGATATGAAAAATTTTAACCATTTTTGTATTGTTAAACTAATTAATTTTTATAACCTTTATATCTTAGGTCAATTGATGCTCGAGAACTTAGAAAGGCTATGAGAGCTCTAGGGTTTAAGATTTCAAAAGAATCTATAGAGGACATGATAGGTAAGCAAGTGTGCTATTTAATGATTCATCTGTTGATCATCCGAAAGGCCTCAAGCTGTCACTAAATGTCTCTTGCTTACTGAGTTCAAGCTTGGTACTGTGAGCTGCAGACCTGGGTTTTCCACTCAAAATCTATTGCCCAAGTGAGAAGCATGTAAGCAGTAAATCATACATACCAGAAAGATCACTACCTTATACTCTCAGTTGAAGTTACCTGCTTGATTGGCAATAACTGTTACAATCATTTTTTTTTTGTTTTTGTTTTTATTTTAAACAGCTGACTTGGATATTGACAAATCTGGGTAAGTTTTATTCTCCTTGGCTTAGCCTGCAAAGCAGCCCTTTCTGTCTCCTTTTTAGCCAAGGAAGAAAAACATGAGTTGAATTAAGGCAAGGGGAGGGGTAGGGAGAGTGAAGTTTAACAGCAGCTCTAAGACATCTTCAACCAACCATATTTATCTAGGCGGGGTACCCATTCTCTGGAAGTCTAAGAGAAACTGACTTTGAGACAACATGACATTACTATAAGTATAGTAATTGTTTAATTGTGATAGAATTTAACAAACCATGTCACCAAAATTTCTCAGTTTTTTCCTTTTTAATCAGCTGCACACGACTAAATAAGTGGATGTGGTTTCAGGACACTAATGTTACTTTACCTTTTTTTTTTGCTTATTTATGCTTACAGATCAATTGAATTTGATGAGTTCTTGGAATTCATCATTGCAAGACAGGGGGATGGCAGAGATGTACACAATGAAATTGTCCAAGTATGTAAGAGGCTCGGAATGATATATTGTTTGCAATTTTCTGAAAAATTTGCAATAATTGCTAATGTGACCATTCAGTTTACTCTTTCATTGCCTTTTTTATCAGATTCTCAAGGCAGGAACAGTGAGATTGTATTTTGACTAATGCACATTATGCAATTAATGGGAGTTAAAAAAACTTTTAATAAGTGCTGGATTGTAATTTGTGGTATATCATGCTTTTCATTACCTTTCTCATGACTTGATTTACTATAATTATTGTTTCCTCTAGGGTTTCAAGATGTTTGACACAGGTGAGCCACTTTCATGAAAATAAACTACAGTACTTTTAATTTTTTTTGTCAGGTTTTTGGGACATTGCATGAATTATACTCTAAACACTCTTTGAGCCATAAATGGGACTACACTGTAGCTTCTAATTTCTCCTCACAATTTCACACATTAAGGTCATGAGAATAAAGGAAGTGATCACTAACTTAAGAAGCTGTTGATTGTTAACAAACTCTCCTGGTCAGCCCTTTAGGAAATGTGTAGAGGACAGTCTAGAGAGTATGAATACTGATTTTAGGGTGTCACTGGTTCAGTTCTCATGTGCTTGAAGCAAATGCAAAGTGCCTTAACAGTACAATAGATCTAACTACTCTTGAAAGTGCAACTTTAGGTTAAGCCATCCACTTCTGCTCTCTCAGTTCTTGAGCATTTCTCAGTTCTTTGAGCATTCATTTTTAGTTATATCTTCCAAGGAATGATGACAATATCAGTTTAAAGATATGATATCTATTCAGTCAGGAATTCACATTGTTGCCATATACTTGTAAATAAATCACAACTTATAAAGAAACACATAAATAATTATATATTTATGTTTTATATATTTTTTCAATTTCCAGACAAGACAGGGAAAATATCATTAAATAATCTGAAACAGGTGTCCAGGCTGTGTGGTGTAAAGTTGAATGAACAGGAACTCAAAGAAATGATACAAGAAGCTGATAAAGATGGTGACAATGAAGTGGATCAGGAAGAATTTGTGAGCATGATGCTAAAAACTAACTTGTTTAGTACATAATCGAGAATTGACCAGAAGAGGAAAATGTGAACTGATCAGTCTTACTAAGAGGACTTACCATGACTGAAGGTATCAAAGGTATCTAATATTAATCCTTTAATTCCCAAGATCTCGTTAGTAATTCTCCTTACTGCCTGTCATACAATTCATGTTAGTTTGGAGAATTTGGAATTGGATCAACCAATAATCTCCTAATTGATATTTTTCTTAATTCTCATCACTTGTCTGCTTGATATTGTGCTGATAGAGTAATGAGAAATTCTATCTTGGTCACTAGTGGGACTTAAAGGGGTAAAGAACACTTAAAGAAAATTTTACAGAAGGCATCTCCTTGGTTTAAAACCTAGTTAAGTTGAATACAGAAACAATTTACGTACAGATGGTGAAACTATTATTTTTAACTTAAGGTATGATTTTTGTTTTGGAGGGGAGAGGGGGCTCATTTAAAGATTGAAGTTCTCAAGGAAGTTTAAAAAGAGGGCTTAAAGTTTGCTCAGAACTGATATGACAGATTTTTTTTTGAGGAGGGAAGGAGAATTCAGTTAAAACTTGAAGTTTGAAAGGTAGGTTTGTGGGGAAGGTGCATAGCTTTACTCAGTCAAGAATTGATAAAACATTTTAGAAACTGCTTCATTAATATACCCTCTCTCAATCAAAAGTATCTGACCAGGTCAGTTAATTCCACAATTTGGATGGAGTTGTAAATAAATTACTACTCACATAGAAAACTCTGATTTCCAGAAAAAAAAAGATAGTCTTAACAAGTAATTTTGAATGGACCAAACTGTGATTATCATCAGCTTATAGTCAGACTTTTTGTATTTGACGCTCGTACTACTATTTGAAAATACACACCTATATGTTACAGCTTTGAGCATGGCTTAAAAGTGTAACCAAGTCAAGATTGGTTTAAGTGTTTTGATTGGTTTTTATAGCAAAGACCATTTTCTTTTTCTTTTTTAAATGAATCACCAGAGCACAGTAAAGCAATGCTGACCTGTGTAATTTTTACACTCAACTGATAAATTTGTCTATTTTTTAGGGAGCTTGCCAGCCCAATAATTTTTATTTGGAGACTTACCAAATAATATATTTTATTACCTTTTTGACTGTCATAATTTCATTAGAAGTTTAATTTGTGACTTTCGCAAAAGATAATATATTTACTTAATTCTTACAAACATACTACATGCAGTTTAAATTTGCAAGTAAGAAATTATATGCAAGTACTGTACTTTGCAAAAATTGAATAATTTATGTTGTGTATATTAATAATTTATATTGTGAATGTTTTGAAATAAAAAAGATCATTGTTTTGTATGTTAAGAAATATTGCTATCAGTGACTCAGTGAGTATGAGGTTTCTAGTGATATTGCTTGAACATGCCCTGTATATCTGATGCGTTTTAAGATAAAGCACAATTATTGTACCAACTGTGCTCCCTTGATCACCCATTCAGCTTTTCCATTCCCTTCATTTCCGCATCCAACAGTACATGCAATTATCACAGAATTTCCAATCTTCCTTGATTGTCAAACTTGCATTAAGCAACCAGTGCAATTCTTTAGAAAAAAATATTTATTTTGCATCTTGGAAATAATTGTGACAGTCATTTTTTATATTGCAAGAAGTCCTAAATCAGCCACTATGCCCACACTGGAATTTTCTAACTGAGAAACTGAAGACTCAAGCTGTGAGTTTGACTCCTCTTCTTTCCTTCTCTCTTCTCTCCTTTTCTTTTTCTCCTTTTTAGCCAGTTCCTTTCTTTTCTTGTTACTTAAATGTGTATTAGTCAATCCTTGCTGGTTCTTTGATTTATCAACAACTTTGGGTCTTGCACCATGGTGTTCATATGCCTTAGTTAATTTCTGTTCTTTTTGAGATAGGGATTTACAAGAGCCTTGAACAGTTTCACTTGTAATGCCACTTGATGAATTTGAAAAAGCTTCTATCTCACTAGTAGTTCTTGTTTCTGATAATTTTATGTCATCCTTGGAGGAACAACCACAGGTTCCAACACCTGGACTAGTTTGGTCATTTTCCTTAAAGTCAATATTTATGTGATTCTTTTTTATTGTATGTGTCTCTGCTTCCATTGTCAAAGAACATTCCATTCCACGTTCATGATTATTCACTGATTCATTGCTTGCAGCAGACCTGTCTTGAGATAAATATCCTGAAACAAACAAACATAATTATTAAACTTTAGAGTACATGGTCAATCATAGTCAAGTTCAAAGTAAGATACCCTCTTTCAGCCTTCAGTTAGAGGTCTGCAGTGAGAATTGGGAAAGGCGAGATAGATAGGCTATTTGAATTCAAATTCCCAAATCCCTCACTTTCGAATGAAGCCAAGGGCAAAGCCTTTCTTGTGAAGTGAGATTTCTTTGCAATAGAAAAATTTTTATTGTACATACTTAGATGGCTTTGCTTCTACCCTCCTTCTCATGCAAATACTCCAGGCATCTCAGAAATAGCGTAAAAACAAGTTTAATTAGCCTTAACAAATGTTCATAAAAATTTTGAAAACATGCTTTTATCAGCAAGCAAAAACAGTTATGAACACAATCATTCAACTAATAAATAAATTATCTTTGAAGCTATCTTGTACAAATTTTGAGAAAAACTAGTCAAGGGAGGTTTCTTACAAATAATCTCAAACACATGTCACCTGTCTCCTCAGTGATAAACATCAACTGAAGAATGTAATTAATGGAAGCATCAACATCATATGCATTCTCCTCCAGGGTTTGAGCTATAATGGCCAAGTCCTTTAAAACAAATGTTTACAGTCAGCAAAGGCAAGAAGCTAAATGCCAAACCATGACTTAACTTTTATTTTCCTTTGTTTCAGAATTCCTTATTACACAATTGCTCTACTGAAAAAAGCATATTAAATAAATAGGAAAACCAATAAAAAAGTAAAATACATGAAACTTGATGCAAGAACAAACTACAGTGAATCCTCTCCTTAGAGACACCTCCATCCAGGGGACACAAACTTTGGTCCAACGAAAATAAAAATGTTTATATAATCTTTGTATCTGACACTTCTATTAAAGAGACCCCTCTATTTGGGAGAAGGGTACACAAATATCTAAAATTAACATATAGTAGAGATTATCAAATTTCCCCTTAAGAATGTAAAGTAATCAATACTCAGAGATAACAAGACTCCATCCACAAGTGGCTTTGTAACTCCTATCTGTTTCTTGATTAACACTTTAACACATCAATATGCATATTCTCCATACTGTTTTCTATGCAGCTCCTAAGGTGCTTACAAGGAGAATTTGTTTATCAATCAAGAGAATATTGAGTTGGTGATCATTTCCTTTATTCTCATGACCTTACTGTGCAATACAGGGGTTATACTGTTTGGAGAAATTAGATGCTAGTCAAATGAACTCTTAAGAGCTCCCCTGGTTACATTGTATGCTCATGTATAAGAATGTAGTCATTTCAGATCTGTACCTTACATCCAGTGGCTGTCATAACCAGTTCTTCTGCTGTAAGCTCATCACTTCCTTGTGGAAAATCCATATTGTTGTTACTGCCACAAGCTGATCTTGCATCTTTCCTTTTTCCTTTTCCTTTGGGTTTACCCTCTTTTTTGGTGGCAGCAAGTTGTGTTTTCGTGGGCTACAATTTGTGAGTTATAGTTAGCATGTAAAATGCTCAGACAGGATGTTATACAGATGTGTGTCTTCTTATAGGATGAGGAAATTCATTTTGGGGAAATTTAGTATCGGGCATTAATTTAGTATAAACAACTGAACAGTAAAGACAAGTACAGAGTTTACAGAAATTTGACAATAAAAACTTTCTGAGACTTTCCTGGTTTTTTTGTAATTTTAACTGCTTTTCTGGTCTATTGTGGGCTATATCTTTGGTTTTCAGGCTAGTTTTTTTTTTGCTACATCTCCCTTCAGACTTGCAGCATAATCTGTCTATAATTCCTTATATAATTACTTAACATAACACATACTCGTACTCACCATTGAGGCAGCAGATACTCTATCATTGTGTTTTATCCAACCAGGTTCAGTACTGTTGTCACTTATATGTCTTACAGATGAATAATGTTCTCCATTATGATAAGAGACATGTAGCTCTCGAACTTGTCCATTCTTGCTGTATTCTTCTCCATAAATTACCCATCTGGGTTCATTGAGCTGATGTATGACAACATTGACTCCATGGTTGCGTGCAAATGCCACAATGCTGTCATTCCCCCCATATGTGCTTAGTTTGGATAGCTCCTGTACTGTAAGCAAAAATTCACCCAGTCCTCAAGTCACACATCAAATAAAAACATAATACTAAATTTAAGTTGTTAATTACCTTTCAATAACTCCTAAGAATGACTAGCATCTAATTTCTCCATACAATATTACCCCTGAATCAATCATAAAGGTCATGATGATAAAGGAAATGATCAACAACTAAAACAGTTCTTTTTTAAAACAAATTCTCATTGCCAGCACCTTAATAAATGTATAGTGAGTAGTATGGAGAATATGCATACTGATATTGGGGTTAATATAGGGTTAAACAACCTCTTAATAATTTTGAGTATTCTTATTAACTGTTTATAGTGGATATGGATATTTTACAGAGAAGTTACATGTTAATTACTTATGGAAGTAAATAATAGTGTTATTATTAATAATATCAATCAGTAAGTGAATAATCACACTAATTGTCTTACAATGTTTATCAAATGATATATTGTCTTCCATAAAGGGTTCAAAGTCACTTCTATGATCTCTCATGTATTTAACTGTTTCCCTTCTGTGCCGCATATGTGATGTGTGATCTCCTTCAATTTGATCCCCCAAAGCACGAAACAAGCAATTTCTAGAAAAAAAAAGACAAACAAAATGTTACTCATTGCCTTATATGGGAGTGGAAAAAGAAACAGAGAAAACACTTATTTAAAAAAGTTAAGAGCTTGGGAAATTTTCACTTCACAGTCTCTTTGGAGAGGCGAGAGAGAGCTCCCATCAACCTATTTGGGAAAATGTCATACTTCTATTACAAATGTTCACCTGTGAATAAACTTTTGTTTCTACTGCTACAACTGCCCCTGCCCATGCACATACAATAAACGCTATGAAAATGCGGAACGAAAAACACATTTTCTAGGTACTAATTCGGATGTGTGACTTAAATTGGTAAATTCTTGATTGAATTTCCGGTTGTTAAGCCTTTTGACCTGGTTCATATAAATGAGGAAGAAGAAATCTGAATTTTTCATGTTACAATTATTAGCTACAGAATTTTATCAAGACAACTGAGACCTTGTTTGCCAGACTAAGTTATTGCCCACAGGCTTTCACTTTCAATTGTAAACTGAGACTTACCCGTCACCAGGGATGTCCTTTATCTTCAGACTTAATGCAGCAAGTTGATTCGAGAAGCTGACGAAGTCTTCATCATCAGCGAGGTATTCCTTTATTTTTCGTTCTTTCTTTAGAGCATTTCTTCTCACCCGATCGTCTCGTTTTCTTTCCAAATCGTCCCTACGTTGTCCTTTCGTTTGTTTCTTGCTTGCACCGCCTTTTGTCATGGTTAAGATTGGGACGGATCGATAAGTTACTCAGTGTTCAAAGTTGTTTCTAAACTCCTAGTAGTTTTGAGGCTTCCTTGTTGTTTTTTCACCTCCACACGACTAGGTAGACAATCCATCAAGGGGTGATACTTCTATTTAAACTTTCTATAACAACGAAACAACAATGAAAACAACGTGAGGAACTAAAAATAGCTTGGACTTTCTCCATGGTTTTGTCAAGGTGGCCGCCATATATTGTTAACCTTGCTCGTTGATGGTGCAATGTTATGCCACAGTTTAGTGAGTATTACAAGAAGGAGATTTTGGATCAGATCATTTACCGATGGTCCGAAACACGCGGGCTCTATTGAGACTTCGACAAGATCCTCCTGCTGATAAGGGCACTGAAGAGGTCAAAAACTGAGTTCAGTTTATAATCTCTTGCAACTGTGGTTTTAAAAGACTCTAGGACAGATATTACGTAGACAACCCAAGTCGCTGAATTAAACAAACACTCAAAAAAGAAAAACAATAAAATATAATAGAAAAACATAACATAAAAAACAGCAAGACCAATGATGACACTGGTATCTTTCGATATCTTTCACTCATCATTGGTTTTAAGACGGTAATGAGACATCGATTGCCAACCCTTTACACTGTTACATCAGTATCCGTTTTCTCTGTACTCCTCACTATACATTTCCTTTAGTCCTGACCAGGAGAATTTGTTTAACGATCTGGAATAAAGTGGGTTAGTTTCGACGGAAGCTGTGATGCTGCGTCGGTAGGGGGTATTACAAGATAATCTAGTTTTGACTTGATAATGTAAATGGCCACTGTAAGGAGTTTCTAAAGCTGACGCTCGTTTCTCCTTCGTCAGAGCACTGGTCTGGTAAGACGCCAAGTTATGCTAAGACACAAGCATCCCGAAAAGAATAAAAAACGATATAAAAGAGTTCCTAACTTTTTCCTTAAAACACATTCACCCTCCTCCCGTATTGTAGTTACAGCTGGTTGTAATCAAAACAAGCACTTCCAATTTTCTTTGTTTTCTTTTCGTGGTTGCTTCTCCCGTGAATTGAAAGTCGTCTCAACTAGAGCGCTGTTTTGAGCGAGTCTGCAACTGATCACACCAAACTCATCAGGGAAAATCATCACCACACTACAGATTGGTTTTTTGTGCCGTTTTGCACAAAATTTATTTTATTTCATTTGCACAAAAATAGCACTTGGATTTATAAAAAAACCCTTTTTTTCTTTTCCACGCATGACTTGAATTCATAATTGCGGATATTAACAGGACTTAATAAACATACATCATATATTAAATCCTTTAAATATTGCATTGCATTGACCTTAATCAATAAAATTAACAATTAGCACACGAGCCACTCTTTGATAATTGTCTCATGTAAGTTGTGCTCAGGTTTCCATTCTTCGTTCGAGGTCGGCGCTTTCAAGTCGATGAAAAGTAAATCAACTTTCTTCTGAAAGACGTCATCTCATCGTGAATTATTCCATTTTCCTCGGTAAAAGGCAGCAAGTGCTGCTGTTTCTGTAAATCGTTGTTGTTATTCGAGGCCAATTACAAAACACACGGTCTTAACACATTGAAATATCTCTCAAATTTTACCCAAAAGTCGCCGAAGACAAAACCTTCTTGGATGCAATTTTCCTCAAAGAGCAATCGAATACTGACGGCGTTCATCCCAATAATGACAAGATTGTCACGCTTGTGACGTTTAAACAGTAATCGCTCCATCATTGTGCGAATCCGCGTGAAAGACTGCGTTGAGATGATCCAAGTCACGTGTATCGACTGCTTTATGGAGGTCAGACCTGCCCATCAGTGACAGAGTCATGCGCAGCGTCGACCAAATGTTGTCAGACATTGTAGAGACTGAGCCCCCTGGTCCAATTGTACCCTGGGTAAAAAGTGGTAATCGAAGAGATTTAAGTTAGTAGATCAATGACACTTCCGTGACGAATACACAAATTCATTTTCTAAATAGTCTTCTGCGAAGTAAGACAACTGTCAAAAGTTTAAATCACGGTATAGGTGAAAAGTTTGTCTTCACAAATTTATGGGTACATTTACTCGTGCCAGTAGTTTTCGGTGATTGCTGAACACGGGAATTACTTTGTGGCATTTCTGCAACTAGAGACGTTGTGATAGACTTCTGGTAGTTTTGAAGGGAATACAAGGCAAATGGCCTTGCCTGGCCTGATTTTGACGACGCATGCGTCTTAAGTTAACAAGTGCCGTAAGAAACGCTTCGCGTCACTAAACAAGATTCTTTTTAGTGAAACCTCAAGCTCAGAGAGAAATTAATATATAACTGCCTAGGCCTGCCGCATTTCAGTTCAAGTGATCTGTATACAATAAAACACTGGCGAGGTTTCCTTTGCTTTTAAAGAGTGCTTCATCTTCCATCTCAACTTTCTTACTCACCACTGACGACTGAAATCGGAGTATCTCTTAATTGGGGATAGACCATACCTTTCTCTGCATATTCAACGCAGTTAGCAGGTGATCCACCGCTTGTCTGTGAGCATTCAAGTTTATACAGCTGATTCCTAAATTGTATCGGCACCGGATAAACCCCGGGCTGAGATTCAGCGCATGTCTGTATGCATCGACTGCTTCCTCGCTGCGCCCGCCGTTCGCCAACGTGGCGCCTAATCTGTTCCATAGAAGAGCATCATTTGGCAGGGCGTGCAGTCCGGCCTGGAAACAATCGACTGCCTTGTCATACTCCCCAGACAAGTTAAACAAAACGCCGAGACCGACCTGCGAAGGGAGAAGGGAGGAAAAAAAAATCAACTCACAAACTTAGAACAGCATTTAATGTAAGTCGCACGGTCGACAGGGTTGGATCGGTTTCTGAGAATCTACTCTCGCATCATTAAAAGAGTGCAATTAAAAGTTAGGTTAAGCTAGATGGAGGGCTTGAACTCAAGGAAAACTGGGTCGAGTACACAGAAGCGAGGCTTACAGGTAAACTAGTGTACTTGTATGGTCTTGTATAGTTAGATGACACAAGTAAAAGACTTGGAAAGAGTTGGAAAAATTTCTTCGCCTTTGTAAAATTTTCTTACACACGGAAAGTTTACCAGATCCAAACATATTGAACGGATACCAAAGCTTGCCTGTACGTTTGCATCGATATCGTTCACTGGAGCCCTTTGTGCAGCTGTGATATACAAGTCTCTTATCTCATTGTACATCTCCGATGACATAATTGATGACGTCACTAACCGCGACCGCGCACCGGTCTCTGATCCCGCGGGCTCATTAGCCACTAGGTCATTGTACCTGACGATGCAATAACAAAAAACAGTTATTGCCTGGAAGTGTAAATTACTCGTGATAGAACGTCACACGCAGATCACAAGCAGATTATTTGGTGCCAGATCCAGGAAAGGATGTCCAGCCTTTTCAAATGAACGTCACCACTTCAATAATCACCCAACAACTCGGCGTTTCACCATTCAAGGTAATCTTATTTTTAACAACTGCGTTGATAAAGTAAATCTGCCACCGAAAAGAGTTTCTTAAGCTGACCTTTCACGCGTAAGCCCTGAGTCAGAGCGAATAGGTTCCTCCATAATACCCTCTTCCGATGCAGCACCACAGCTTTTTATCATAGACTGAGTTGATTTTCTTTACTCACCGTGGGTTAGCCTTTAACCAAGCTTTTAAGGTCCGACAGGCCTGCAAAATATATAATAATCGAAAAAGTTATTTAAAAAAAGCCTCTTCTGAGAGAAAAGCTTTGCACAGTAGAAGTCCTCAAAGACCACTTCGAGAGAAGATGATCATATCAAGCCAATCGTAAGGTACTCCGAGCACCTTTAATTGGACTCTGAGAGTAACCCGCCATTATGGTTTTTCTTTAGAGCAATTTTCAATTGAGTATCGAAAGTAATCCGGGTTTGCCTCGTTTTGGTATACTTTACTCTGCGACCGGTTAAGAAAACTCGCGCCACCATTTCAACTAATCAGATACAATACTAAAACCAGTCACGACTTGGTCGTAACTGGTTTTAGTTTTTTCCCGCGCTTTAGGCAGTTTAATTGTTTTTACTTTGAGTTCTCATTGGCTCAAAGGTATTTTCCTTTCTCCTAATTGGCCGTTATGATTTCTGTGGTGTTTCGCAACACTCAATCGAAAAACACTCTGTTACACTCGGTAATTGGTCTGGAAAACTCCTGCTATCCTCTCAAATGCAAGATGCAAACTTAAAACCACTAGCAACTTAGTCACTAGTCTCCCCCGCTGTTCAAAGAGTTTGTTCTCTTTTAACACCGAAATCTCAGGATCACTGTGATATTTTACTCTGTTCTCTCTAACTGTTGCGATAACTTAAGTTTTAAATTTAATACACTCCATCAAAATGCGCCCCTATTTACAGGAAATCTTACCGTTCATAACATTACAACACCGTCCCTTGAGTTCATCAGGGCCATTTTCTAAGTCTAGTCATTCTTGGAAAAGTTGAAGCGAAATTGTTTGCGAGGACAAAAAACAAGGATTTCAACTTCAATAACGCAACACTTTATATTGTAAAACGCTTTGCAGAACGCACCTTGGGAAAACCTTAACCGTAATTTTTCGTCGAATAAGTTACGTAGTTACCTGTGATTGCATGGATTCATTGGTGTAACTTACTGCCAGAGCCATAAGCGCTGTCAAATTATCTGGCTGTGATTCGAGGCATCTACAAAGACAAAATGTATTATATTCACCATTTGATCCTTCCCTCGTGGTTTAGAAGGAATTTTCAATTTCATCCTGCATTACTGAGCTCTGTGATTGGTCCAGAATACTTACGTCACTTTCTAAACCAATAAATAAAGGTGATTGGTTTATCAATTGGTAACCAATCGCAGCTACAGGTTTTCCCGCATTTGAGGTCGGTCAAACGTTTTTTTCCCGCACTTCATATCTGTTTTCACTCCCAGCACTTACTTATTCAAAGCAATTATTGCTGCAATATCTTGCTCGTTTTCTGCTTGACTTGTTCCTAAATACTGCCACGCCTGCAAACAAGAGGGAAATTTCAGTACACAGTATATACCAGGGGACAGCTTGAACCAAACTAGATCGGCACTATTCCTGGATTATAATGGTCAATTCTGCATTGGTGCAAAACGTGCCTTTAGCAGCTCCGCCAGCTTGACTTAAAGTGGCACACTCAACAAAGGATGACCATTGATCTTTCGAGTCAGGTGCAACCTGCTTACGTTGATGGATATTTTTTGGGAGTTTCAAAGCAGGTTAAATTCAGTCTTCCGTGGAGGTCCTTCCTTGCATCTACGAACCTGTCTAAGAAGGGATCGCGGGCGCACCAAGCCACCCTGGAGACTGAGCCTACAATAGGCGGAGCCGCAAGATTAGAGCTTCGGGTTTACGCAGGCTAGGTTCTTCTCACAGTTCGATATATAATAAGTTTTCATTTCTAGGTAAAGAAAAAATTCTTTTGTATCAACTTACCTCAGCATGTTCTGGTCTCTGCTTAACCTGAAATATCATCAAAGTAACATCAACAATTCACTTCTTTAAATCCAGACCGGTCACACAACCCTCTCTTGATAGACTACGTAACAGTCACGCAAATACGCTACCTGCATAAAGTCCGCAAAATTTATAAAGGACAAAAATGGTTCGTGACGCAAAAGTCTCTTCAGATGAAAAAGTCTCTCCAGTTATGGGTCCCGAAAGGGTGTATTTTGTTAGACGCGTTTACAGTCAAAATTGATATTGAAAACCGAGATGCAAAATCACTTTGCTCAACGATTGGCCCAGAAAACCTACGTCAACTCTTCAACCAATCAGATGCAAAAGTCCCCTTAGTCAACTGTCCCGAATTGCTGTATTGTATTTACCTGTTTACATTCACAATCGAGATGCAAGAAGAGAATAGTTCTTGATGTAGCTGTTTATATACTTAACCCTTTAACTCCCCGAGGTGATTAACATGAAACTTCTCCCTATAATATTCATACATTATCCAGCAAACAGGTGATGAGAGTACTCAAACGTATCCGTTAGAGGTTTTTATCCTGATCAAACACCACATTCTCATAACTAAATTGCAAGGAAATGTGAGGCAGCTAGAGGGGAGAATTAACAATCAGATCTTGGGAGGTAAAGAGTTAAAAGAGTATCAAGAAGTTAACAACGGAAGTACCCATACCTCTGCTTCAAATAACAAAATAGCACTAATCAAGTCTCCCTCTTTGAGCTTTTTCAGTCCCTCCTCAAACGGGTTTGGATGATCTATGAGTGGATTATCTTCTTCGAAAGTATACTCCTGTAAAGACGTTTTACAAAGTGGCATATTTCATAGACTGGTAAAGAGTCTTTCCTCGTGATTATGTAACACAACCTACACAACTTAATGAATCTCTCAGTTACTATACGCACCCAAACCTCCTCTGCTTTTTAGTTTCGCTTCGCCGCTGCTGGGAGAGAGCGTCTTTCACTATCGAACTCCGCTTTCCTAAATGAACGCCAAGTAGTGTAAAACTAACCTTGTTCACTGTAGCATCACTTTGACTGTACCAGGAATGAGCGTCTTCACCATCACGTCTGAAACAAAAAGCAACCAACACGAAAAACATTATGGTTGAATAGTCACTGGATACCTATGGTGTGTTCGCGGAATCTTTGAAACAACAACAAAACACCTGTCACTGAATCAAGCCATTTCTCTTCAAAACCCCTCTTAGAAATATTTATTGGTAATCTCCTTTCGCATTTGGGAATTCAGAATGATCGCTCAAATGTTGTCACTCAAGGCTGTTGTATTGAGCGCATTTCGCTCGAGTGTCGTAAAATAAAAATCCAAGGTAATCAAAACGGCCATTAGAATAACGATAGATATCACAAAGAGCCAATGAAAACTCAAAGTAAAAACATAAAAATGGCGTAAAGTGGGAGGGAACATGTCGTGATTGGATTTGGTTTCACAGCTGATTGCCAGTAAAGGTGGAAAGCAAGAGTTTACTAGACACCATATATCCAGTGTGTCTGCTCGCTTCCAGTTTTTTTATATGTGTTTGTATTTTTGTATATTTTTGAACTGTAATTTTTCTTTTGACATTTTTCTCTCTTTTGCTTTGTCTTTTTTATTTTAACTATGTTCTATTAAAAATAGTCCACACATGGTTTCCAAGTGAGCTTCCTCGCCAGAAATAAAAAAACTTGTACAGTGGTGTGTGCATGTTCTTAAATAAATGTTGTAAATGTTTGTAATTGTTTTCTGGCAAAATAAATCAGTCAATCACAAAAGCAAAAATTTCTTTCAAGTAAAGCGTTTTGATTAGGTCAGAGGAACTTTGCCTACTTCAACAGTTCGAAAACAAACCCAATCACAACTTGGTTCGCATGCTGGTGTCAGTTGCATGTTCAGCCTCGCCTTTTCATTGGTTCATTTTGTTGCTGGCATTGTACTAGTAGCAACTGACCAATGTAATTGTTTTGGTATGGTTGAGATTTTCAGTTCTGGATTGGAATTCATACATACTTTCAATTTAACACATAGATTCCATGTTACTGTGCGGCTGTTCAGTAATACATCATGGATGACACCAAAATGTGGTAAGACCAAGAAAAATGAAACATGAGGTGCAGCCTAGTGTCACTGATGTCCTTACCACATTTTGACATATTCTGTGATCTATACATGAACAGACCCACAGCAAAATAAAATGCAATTTTTCTATACATAAAGAGGCAAAAAGTTTTTAATGGTGACGTAATCTATGTGTCTTTTTTCCTATAGATCATGAGTAAGACCCAATCAAAATGAATCTTTGTAGACACATCTTTAACTTACCTTATTAGGTCATCCCACTCTCCTTCCAAGCGATCCCAAAATTCCAAATTTGACTGCAAATAATCATGTTTAATTATTCAGATCATCAGGTCTATAATCAGGTTTAATCTGTATAATCAACTATACTCTAAGATAACTTGCAGAGAGAACAGAGCCATGCTCCTTTTGTGGAGTAATTTTAGCTTCATCAAAGAAAGGCCTTTAAAAAGACGGAAACCTTTAAACAGTCTTCATTCTGTCATCGTGTAGTCATTCTGGAAACAGTCCTATCATGTGACTAAATACCTTTTGTTCGTGGGCTGCAGATGTTAACTCTTTGATCCAATCATCAGCCTCAGTTGACCTAAATTTCTCATACTCATCCACCCACTCTTCTGCAGCCTCAGTGTCTTCATTAACCTCCTGCCCAGTCTTTGTGTCAATTACCTGAAGAAAGCAATATGGCCAATCAAGATTAATGCTACAGATACCACCAGAGCCATCTCTAATCCCAGCTTGTGGGCAGACCCTCATTGTGAGCTCTGTGGCACAAGCATTTCCTCACCCACGCGAAAGTTTGAGGTGAGTCTGGGAGAAAGTTTGAGGTGAGTATATGACAAAGTTTGAAGTGAATCTTTGAGAAAGTTTGAGGTGAGTATGCAACAAAGTTTGAGGTGAATCTGCAAAAAAGTTTGAGGCAAGTCCAAGGCAAAGTTTGAGGTGAGTCTGTGAGAAAGTTTGAGGTGAGTGGGTGACAAAGTTTGAGGTGAGTCTGCAAGAAAGTTTGAGGTGAGTCCATGAGAAAGTTTGAGGTGAGTCTGCAAGAAAGTTTGAGGTGAGTCTGAGAAAAAGTTTGAAGTGAGCTAGGTTGACACTCAAGGCCTAAACTCTTCATGCACCTGAAAGGCTTCTATGTTTCTGACAGTAACTAGTATTAAAATTCCCCTTGGATGGGACAATGTTGTATTGTAAATTACTGGTTACTCTTGAGGGAGTTGCTCAGGAAAAAAAAACTATAGATAACACAGCACAAGAAGCAAGGAGAAGTTTTAGGCTGAACTCAAAATATAACATATATATTTTTCTCTCAATCTCAAATAATGGAACCAATTCTTAAATCAAATAAAATTTCCACTCCTTGGTAAGATGATTGTAAAAATAGAGAAGTGTCATTGTCTAACAATTTGGAGTAAAAATGAATTTTCAACATGCCTGGTTATTTTCAATTGTGTATTCACCATCTCTAAGTTTCTTTACAAACTTCATAAACTGGAAAGAAAAGAAAGACCATTTAGGGAATTTACAAGATAGCATGGAGTTCAACATGAAAATTCTCCTCACTATTGGCACTGAATTAATTTCCATTTTATTAGAGAAATTGATGACCTAAGCTCATTAAGAAAAATTTTCAAGTACAGATAACTATATATTGATGTTTCCTTAAAGTAATATATCTTTTGCAGGTCAGGTAAAACTGATATTAATCAGAAAATTTCCACTTTAATTGACTCAGAAAATTAAATATCCCTACAATCACTTCAAAACTATTAAAACTGATTAACCCTTTGACCCCTGAGAATGACTAGCATCTAATTTCTCCTTACAGCATCACCCCTGAGTCACACATTTAAGTCATGAGAATAAAGGAAATGATCACCAACCAAACACTGTAGCTCTTGATTGTTATACAAATTCTCCTTTCCACCACCTTAGGAAATTTGTAGAGAACAGTATAGAGAATGTGCATACTGATGCTAGGTTGTAAAGGGTTAATAGCCCACAATTACCTTTGAGTTTGCAAACTTTGGATCCTCAGCATTTTCAAGCAGCTCCCCAGCTGTCTTGGATAGTTCAGCATTTTCACCTTCTTGCTTGTATTCATTTACCCTTCAAAAAAAATACAAATTAATAACACAAAAATTCTGGAAATATCAATAAAATAGTGTTTTAAGATTTTTGTTTTCCTTACCAGGAATGTGATGCATACCAAAATACAACAAACACCACCACAAATACAGGGCTTTGACTTTCACTCTCAGGATTGAAACATCAATTTTTAACACCATCTACCACACATTTCTTATAATTTTGCCATTAGAATTTGGTGTTAAATGAAACAACATCCACCAGTTGACATTTTAATTAATTTCTTCTCACCACCTTTCCGTTTGAATGTGATGGGATATTGAATGGAGAGATTCCTTTCTAAAAACTCCTTGGTATAAAGGGTTCATGCAATGCAATTTCTATGGCTTGTTTTCCAGAAGAAAACTAATTTATTACAATATTATTTTATGTATATAACTCTACCAGCTTTTGTAATCATTTGTATACACCTTTGATAAATTAGATGACTCATTTAAAAGAACAAACTAAACTACACTAACCATGCTGCATCATCCAGGCCTTCATGTCCCATGTCCCTACAAAATAAAAAAAAAAAATGGAAATCATATTTAAACCTTAAACCTGTAAGTGTGATAAGCACCTTATTCCTCCCCACAATATCATCCCTGAATCAAGCATTAACGTCACCAGAAAAAAGGAAATGATTGCAAAATCAAGAAGCTCTTGATTGTCAAACAAATTCTCTTTATAAGTACCTTAGAAAATGCATAGAGAACAGTATGAAGAACATCCATGCTGATGTTAGGGTGTAAAGGGTTAATAAAGTTAAAATTATAACTTAAATAATCTAAGAAATCCATAAATAAAACATTCAGTCACTCACCTAACATGCTCCAGGTACTCATCTGCCCATTTAGTTGGAAAATCCTGGACACCTGACCCATTAAAGAATGTCCAGTTAGTCTTACTAATAGTTTCAAAACCTTTTGGTTGGTATGTTATGTCTATGAACTAAAAAAGTAAAGGTAACATACCAGCTCTTGGTTGAAATCTTGTTTCATGTACATATTCTTTTGACCATTCTGAAAACAAGAGATATAATTGTTTGTGATTTGGAAAGCAAACTCCCTTTTAAGGAGACTTCATCTACCATGTAACTCAAGGCTGAGGTCCATTCACGACTTCACCCTTTGACCCCTAAGAGTACCTACTGGTTGTTAGCATCTAGATGCTCCCTACAATATCACCCCTGAATCACACATTAAAGTCGCAAGAATAAAGGAAATGATCACCAACTAAAGAGGCTCTTGATTGTCAGACAAATTCTCCTAGTCAGCACCTTGGCAGATGTATCACAAACAGTGTGGAGAATATGCATGATGATGTTAGGGTGTAAATGGTCTAAGGAATACCACATCTTTTATTTTCAAGATTATGTATGAATTGCCTTCTTCATCTCACAAACAAAGCTTATACTTAACCTTGTAATGACAATTTGCACTTCAAGAGGTAAGTATAGCACTAGCTGCATAGTTACCCAAACAGTAAATTGACATTCATGTCTAAATTTCAAATACCTTCAGCTCGTTGCACCTCAGATGACATGTATTCAGCAGCCCATTCACTTGATGCCAGATCAGCAATTCCAGGAGCTTGATGAGAAAGAAAAAATTAAGGGATATTGATTGATCCAATATCAAATTCTCTAAACTAACACCATAAAAATTATATGGCAGAGAGTAAAGAAATTATTAAAAAGTTTTACGGAGATTAAACTAAACACTGTTCTTGAGCCAAGTGGCCCACAAGGCACCATGTCTGTGGCATCAGGCAACTACAGTGTAGGAGCATTAATAGAAGGCCACCATCCTCCTTCCTCCATCACTCTAAGATTTTATGAGGTTTCTTTGACAGTTTGATGGTACACATTTAAGCCAGGTAAAGCTGGAGCTGGGCACTAAGCATGTTTCCCAAAAACACAACAGAATGACCCAGCCAGGCCTTGAGCCAGGACTTCTCAAACAGAGTCCACTGCATTAATCATAGGACCACCACATCTCCCACATCACCTTTCAGGGCAAAACGCATCAGGCAATAACATCATCCCATAGTTGTTGGGAATATCTACAATCACACACAATTCCGACTGTATCCTTTCTTTCCCTGTATTCCCGTAACATTCTTCAATTATCTATGGGTTCACTCTATTGCAATGCTCTAGCATCTGTCTAACATCTGCCACACTCAAACCATCCCTTATCTTAGGTACACATTTCATAATTACAATCCTGACAGTTACTGTGTACAGGATTACAAGTTGTTTAACTATCAGTGATAATTAACATGACCATTAACACTATAGTATCAACTTCCCTAATGTTTTTATAATTAATTCAATCTCATACAAATATAAACACAAAAGAAGACAGGATGTATTTGTTGCATCCACAATTATAGCAATTATTTCACAACAATAATAGACTTGAAGGGACAATCAGTCCAAGATTGGACTCAGGACAAAGCAGTGGAAGACATACATTCTCATCACTGTACTATTCCTACTTCCCAAATCAGTAGTTACATGGTAAAAAAAAATTAATAATTAAAACTGAATTCACTTCACAACAAGACATCTTCATGTACCACTCAGGGCAAAAATCTGTAACTTTATATGAAACCTGCATTGTTCAAATCAAATGATAGCTCAGCACCCACCTCTAACTGGAGTAAGATGCTGGTTTCTTTGTTCAATTTCTTTCATTTCATGAAGCAAATCACCCATACGAAAGGACTGGGGAGGAGCATGTGTTCGTGGATCACGAAGAAATTCTGACACCAACTAAAACAGGAATAGATAAGCCCAATGAATTAACTAACTTTTTAAGTGTGTTCAATTCAGACACAAATGCCCTGATTAGACAACCATAGGTAGCTATTCATATCAATTAATCATACAATATTAGCCTTTCATTATTTCAAGTAACAAATTTAAAGAACTTTTGAAACCAAGGGTTAAAGACAAATACCTGGTCTTCTTGAGCCTCATGAAAAGCTCTTTCACCCTGTCAAGTTAAACATGTTTCCATTAATATTAAGGCACTCCTGAAGCAACTTAACTCAGCTTAGCTAAGCTGAAATAGTAAAAGATTAATGAAATCCCCCCTCCAAAATAAAAAGGAATGACATTGTGACATAGTAATAAAGTAACTCTTTTACACTTTAAATCCACAAAACTTTCAATTTTAAAGGCCCTGGGAGAACATACACATGCTTGCTTTGGGAAGTATTAGTATTATTTATCAATTTATCAATTATTATATATTAGTCAAATTAATTTGAGCTGTACATACTTTTTAAAAGTTGCTCTGAAAGAATAAATGTGTAATTATCTGTTTCTTCCCTATATATTTTTTAAAGATTACTGTGCAAAACATTATCATACCAGTTCCCTGGGAGGTCCAAACCTGTCTTGCACAAGACCCTCCTGTTTGCAAGAATACAGTTAACAATATATTTTGAGTCACATAACATAATAAATTATAATCATTAACTGTATATAGAAATAAAAATTTCACAGAAACTCAGATCATAAATTCATACTATGAATGTGGATTCTCAACATCTTAAATATTAATTATGTCTCTATAGAATCATTACAAAATTACAACATAACAGGCAGATTTGTAACTGGAGAGTATCAACAGTTACACTTCCAAATAATTGACTTGTGTTAACTGTTACACTTTCAAGACCCAATTAGCTATTTTCTCTTCAGATTGCTACATATTTCCTTTAAAATAGACATGGGAATTGACTGATAAGGTTGTCTCTTATCACCTGTTTGTGAGACAATACATTGAAATCTCAAGAAGAAGTTATATCAGTCACTTCTCAGTTTTAGCAGTTAGCTTTTAAAACCCCTGAGAGTGATTATCATCTAAACTCTCCCTACAATAATAACCCCTGAATCAAACATTATGGTAACAAGAATAAAGGAAATGATCGCAAACTTAAGAAGCTCTTGATTGTTGCTCAAATTCTCCTCACTTTTATCATAGGAAATGTACAGAAAGAGGTATAGAGAATATGCATGCTACCGTTATGGCATAAGGGGTAAAGGGTCCAAAAAAAAAATTTTAAGCAGCCCTTTCAAAGGAATGCACAAATTTTGGCATAGGATAGCAGTTATGGTAGAAGGAAAGTAAGTGTTTGCTAACCTGATGAAATGACTGATCTTGTGTGAAGTGAGTCGCCAGTTTCATCAGAGGATTAGCACTTCCACATTCCCCCTCAACTAAATCCCGCATTGCCATTTTTAACTCTGTAACAAAACAAAAGTTATGTTAATTTGAAGAAAATAATACAATAGAGTAAGCTCACACTGTACAGTCAAGACATATGAACAGCTTTAAATACTTAAAAATGACTAAAGAACTGATTAGAAGACAGTTTCAGTCATCCCAAATCATTCCTTGAAGAGGTGGTTCAAATTTGTCATCACTGGAGATATGCCAATCTGAATCAGGTACAAAAGGTCTGGATAGAAGCAGATATGCAATGAATTTAAGAAAAACACTCACCAGAACAAAGAGTGTGACATTGTGGAGAATTATATGGATGTCTGAAAATGTGAGGGGCCTTAACATCTTAGATCACGCTTTCATAACTTTTCAACTTAAAATCAAAGAAGCTACCCACATTTAATGGGAGAAACCTATACTTAATCACTTTACACACTTTAAATTCAACTTTGTACTTTGTAATATTCAGAACTGAAGATGACAGAAGAATTGTCTAAACATGTTTTTTTTTGGTGTTGTTCATTTTCTAAAAATCAGATACAAACTTTTTTTCTCCAGGCCAATGAGTGACCATCCCAACACAAAAGTGGAACAGAGAAGATAGTAGTGCAACATTTCTTAAATGATTTAGTAATATATACATTATTTTTTCTTACATACAAACATCTAATTTGTACATTGTCAGTACATGAATAAATTTCAATACAACTCAGAGCCATATAAACTTCTAGTAGGCTTATATATATGGTCTAACTTTTACCGGCGACCTTCGTACGTAAGCTACATGAAAAAAAAACTAACTGTTAAGATTATAGATCAACAGACTCACAAACTACAGAGGCAAAACTTTGTTATTCACAACACAACACCCAGAATGCCCACAATTCCTCGCTCTTCACAAAATTTGAAAGCGCACCGATGATTTGGACTTGTACTCTGGTATTCTGTTGTTTCTCTCAATATAACGGTTCCATTGACGAGTTTCACCAAACGGGCACGTACTACCTACATCACCTGTACAGTGACGTCACTTTACCTTTGATGTAGCAATTTTTCAATTTCCTAATCACGTATTCACCGGTAGGTCCTTACAATCTGAAGGAGCAATCTTCTTAAAACTTGTAATCATTTGGACATTCTCAAATTAAAATAACTTGAGAAAGTTCACCATTCATTTTTAGCCATGGCATCGTGCACTTTGCCACTCTCTCTTGAACATTTACGATCTTAGGTAATGAAACAGCATTCATGTTAGTCAGCGGATATTACTGAAGTTGGAAGGTTATTCGTGTAAGATCAGGGAAAACCTTGAGCCCCTAACGATATGCGTTTCCAAGGAAACAGTTCCAAGTGCATGAGATTGCGTTTGTTTCAGGGAAAGAGGAACGTTTAAATTGAACAAGAGCTGAAAACCATGCCAGGAATCCCCTCAAAACGACCAAGGTATTACACACCAAACGAAGTTAGTATCCACAATACGTTAAAAGATCTATGGGTATCGTTTTTGGGCAAAGTTTACGACCTTACTCCGATGTGCGAAAAACATGCAGGTACGTAACTTCCACAGCTGAGTTATTTTAACGACTTCAAGTTATATACCATCACGGTGATAGATAAAACCCTTCAATTTTTCCTGCCTCTATGAAGCAATGAGAACTTCTAACTAGCATATAAAGCTGTTAAACGATCGATCAAGGAGCGAGTGTCCTGCGCACTGGTCAAGCTTTTATTTTACGTTGATGCGAAACATCTGAAGAAAATAGCATTGAAACGTATTCATCTAAATGTCTATTCTTACGTAAATGCTTTGGACTTGACAATAATTGTCAATTGTTTTGTGTGATTGTTCGGGTTGGGAGGGCTCTGCAAAAAGTTTTTAAGTCAGTGACTGACTCAAGCATTTTTAAACTGAAACTCTAAGTCGATTGAAACTGAAACGGAAATCAACACTGGAGTCACATGAAGAGGGGTTTGACAATCACATTTTAAAAGTCCCCTCGTGAAAACTTATTGATTACAATACACAATTGACAGTAAGAAGTGCAACTTTTCTTTCACAAAGCTCTGTAAATTTCTTGATATTTCAGGTGATGTTCTTCTGAAGCCCATCATCGAAGCAGCAGGAAAGGATATTACACACTGGTTTGATAAGAAAACAAAAGATGTAAGCTCGTGTGTTTTATGATATTTGTGTTGGCTTTGAGCCATTAGTAGTCACCCGATTCAAAGTAACGGTGTTTATAACCGAACAGTGATGAGATCGAAGAGACCACTGATGATTTCTTCAACGTAACTGAACATTTTACAGACAGATTCCATTTTGTTGTGTCTACTCAAAAATAGACTGTATGTGATGATATCAAATTGTGGTAAAAACAAAGAAAGTGGTACCTGGGCAGCAGAGGAGTGTGTTACTGGTGCTCATGGCACTATAAATTCTGTGTTTGAGCCAATTAGTGGCCTACCCAGCCAGAGCTTATCTCGGTTTTCTTAGCATGAAGCAACTGTAGAATCACTACTTCCTCCTGGATGGGATGTCAGTCCATTACAAGATTACCCTCCAGAATTTCTTCGGCCTTCCTTGAATTCGACAATACCCAACTGTATACTCCCAGAGTGGAGAGAGGTGCTGTGAGAGTAAACTATTCAGCCTAACCATTTAAACCATAAGAGTGAACAGCATCTAGTTTCTCCTTACAATAATACTGCTGAATCATTCATTTAAGATCATGAGAATAAAGGAAATGATCACCAACTTAAGAAGCTCTTGATTGTTAAACAAATTCTCTTTGTCAGCACCTTGGGAAATGTGTAGATAACAGTATAGAGAATATACATATTGATGTCAGGGTTTAAAGGGTTAAACCATTGGACCACTGTGTCTCTCTTCATGGTTCTGTGGTACTCTATCATTAACCTTACACAGCCAATGGGTAATACTCAATTTTTTCTCTATCCAAGATCCGAACTCACATTGATCCTGTAACCAAGTGTAAATTCTATTACACACCAAGAGGAAGGTTCATTCACACTCCTCCACAATGTCCCCGCACAGACTGGGCAAATGACTTTGGACGACCATGGTGGAAAGATGATTCTTACTGCATTGGTGTGCTTTCTGCACAAACAAGGAAAATCAGAATAATCAATACCCTTACTTCCCAAGAACAAACCATTGAGGTTAGTGTCTGAATTCTTTCAGACTTTTGTATCCCAGGGAATTCTTGAGATAGTGTAGAAATGTACAGAATGATTTTTAAGATCTGGAAAACATATGGAACTTTTAAACAAAGAATAAGTCTTGAACAAATCTAGGAAGAAGCATTGGTTTTTCCCAAGCTTTTAGATCATGACTTGTACAAATGCTGATTGGTACTCTGACAGACTGAATTTTACCATATTATTATCTAGACAAGTTGATCAAAACAAGGTTAATTTGTGGTTACATTGTATAATTGTTTTGAAATTGTTGTTGTCTGGATATAGCAATGTTTATACAGAGCTCTCAAGAAGATTTGTGGGCAAAGAGGGAGATTTTCAACCACATTGCTTTCAATTGTGATGCATCACCTTCCTGAGGGAGGGGGGATGGCTTTCAACTGTGATGCATCACCTTCCAGTCAGGGGAAGGGGGAAAACTCCTCTGGGAAATTGTAGAAAACAAAGGAGCTATGATGTGAATTCCTTTATTTGGAGCAAGAATTTCCACTGTTTAAAAGTGTTTGAAACAAGTACAAAGGGAACAAGGAGTAAATTATATTGAGAAAGATAATTGATTTCACAGGCACTTAAGTCAAGAAGAAATTTGCTTTCTCAAAATTAACATTTTAAATCAGAAACCCTAAATGCATAAGAAATAATAGTTTCAGCATGAGAGCACAATACTAAATTTATTTGCATGAGGTTTGAGAGCTTAGTACATAACAAACATGCTCTTGATGTGATATTGAAAAAACTGTGGGTGAAGTCCAATTTTCTTCCCTAATCCTTTTCTTCTTCTCTAAAGGTTTGCTCTGAGGAGATACTAACTGAAATTCAAGACCGCTACTTGAAATATAATGCCCATGCTGCCAGCTATACATGGAAGTACAATGGAAGGAACTTGGATATGAATAAAACACTGGAAGAGAATGGAGTTGCTGATGAAAGTGAAGAATTCTATAAACTGAGCATGAATGAGGAACTATTTCTACCAGCCTTACATCTGTATTTAAATGATGATTTGACAGAAGCTTAGTAAATTAATTTAAGGTTAACCCTCATTTACTCCTTGTGTGCAGAGCTCCATAGAGTCTTCATCCAGGTTTTTGTGTTTGGGGAGATGATTTGTGTTGCTGAAGTTAACAAAGTTCAAAACTTCTTCAAAGGTGTTTGTAGTACTTGTAAATAATTTGGAACTGAATATCTGTTAAATAAAGTGTAAATAGTTGATCTTGGGAGTGAAGGAGTGATACAGAAGGTATTTCATACTTAAGGCCAGTTCTCAGATAATCTGGGACATATATATTATTTGCTTACTTTCCCCACAATTTTCTTGGTTAATTTTCTAGTGGAAATTGGAGTGTGACTGAAATACTTCACCCATTGAGGGTCAACAGTTTCTATCAGTTCCTTTGTTTCTTGACACTAAATTGTTTGGATTATCATATTTAAGATGTTGGCTGTAAAATTTGTAGGTCAATCTGAGCTGGGAAACAACATCACTATTCTACAAGTACAATTGGGTGGTGCCAGAATTACCTCTCTTCCACACCCAGAATAGAGTGGTCTCACTCTTGTTCTATTAATAACTTGAGTTCACAGCCCAAAAGGTAAATGCTAGAGTAAGATAGAGCAAGAATTTTTAAGAAGGCTTGTGGGAAGAAGGGAACATGTCAATATTTTATTTCATGTATCCTTTGAAACTCTTACTTTTTGCTCTCAAGTTACAAATTCTCCAGCATACCCTGTGAGATCATTGTGCCCACATCTCTTTTCACCCACTCACTTAGTCCTTTTCTGAACTAACTGACCCTTGAGGTGACACAAGGGATCTCTACCCAACCTTCTCTACTGCTACTTTCACACTGTCTCAAGGGTCAACACCCTGTCAGTTTTTTGCAAGGTTTCTTTTGGTCTTCTACAGTTTTTCCTCCCAAGGAATTTCAAGCATGGATTTTTCTAGTCCCCCCTTACTTCATGTTTAATACAAAGACATTGAGTGAGACCACCAGCAGAATGACTACCTTCTAAGTTCATTCCTGTGTGAGCCTATGTACAGCATCCCTCATTCCCCTTGGAGAGAATAAAGTAGTTTGTACCTGATATTCCTAAGAGGAGACAGGAAAGCTTTACACAAGCCATCCTGAGTTGCTCTCATCTTTATCATGTCTATAATGGCAAGAGAGTCAACTGTCTTCTCTGGATGTTAAGGGAGCTACATCAAAATTTGTGAGAGTTGAAAAATTTAGCCTACATCTCTTGAAATTGTTATTTCATTCCTTATTGATTTTTTTTCTTCTTTTGTTGTATTTCTCACATTTTCATTCTCTCTTTCCCCTCTAATGTTTGTCAACCAAAGCAAACTATTATTTCATAGTTTCCTTTCATAAGTGAAAAAGGCAATTTCCATGTAGCAATAAAATAAATCAACATTTTGTGACAAAACTAACATGGTGACCATTAAACTCCTTGAAGCGATGAACATCTAAATTCTCCCCATAATAGCCATACACTATCCTGCAAAGAAGTGGTGAGAATACTAAGGCAGAAGTTGTTACCTTGATCTAACACCAAACTCTCAAAACTAATTAAAAAAGAAAAGTGTATCAGTTAGAGTGAAGAAAGGGGAGAAAGGGGAGAGAATAAACAATCAAATCTTAGGGATTAAAAATTTTAAAAGTGGGACAGACAATTTTCAAATCAGACATGACTTTTTTATAAACTCAACCAACAAGATTCCCATGTTCCACACAGCTGTTGTGACATTCCTTTATTATAAACAACTAATTTTCATACAAATATCAATTTTTTATAAAACAGCTTCAGTGACTCTGCCTTGCAGGGTCTAGGACCAGAGAAGTCAAACACTCACAAGGTTGTTTTCATCTGTCCAAATTCTTGAAAAACAAGGTTTGCATTTGCAAAGATGTATTTTAAAGACATCATATTGTGCAAAAAAAAAGTCTCAGAGTTCTTAAATAAACAGCTACAGCAAAATACTCATGTGATTGGTCTCCTCCTAGGTCTTTTCCCATCAACCCAGAGCTGCATTCTGGTGTTTTTTATCCCACGGCCTTCACTTGTAAGTGTCATGAAGTAGACTGTTGCCAAGACGACAACCACAAGAAGGCCAATGATTAAGAATGTATATGCATTTGTAGTAGAAGTTGATGGTGATCCAATCTCCCTCAGATGTAGCTCTGCTAGCTCAAATGATGGGTTAAGGTCCAGCACATGTCTGAAGTGGATCCCAGCTTCTTCCAGGTCTCCATTTGCTCTGAGAATTTCACCAAGAGTAAAATGCTGAAGCCAGCAGTTATGTTCGGATGGTTGCATTTCTAGTGATCTTCGCGCAAGGATTGCAGCGTCCTGAATATAGTTCAAATTGAAAAGGACCTTGGCAAGATTTAAGAGGGCATCAGCATCATTTGGTGAAAAATACAATGCTTTTCTGAAACACTCTATAGAGTGGTATGTGCTTCCTCTAATTCTCCAGAAATTTCCAATGTGATTACAAACAACAACTGAATTAGGACTCTGCAGGAAAGCAAACAAAATAAATGTAAAGAGAAATAACTACACTTCCATAAGAGCACAGGTGGTTTTTAAAAATATCTGTGATCATGCTGTGGAAATTAATTAGCAGTCATGAAAGGGGGGGGGGGTTAGTAGGGGGGAACCAGAAAGGGGCGAGATGAAAGTTCAAATAATAAAAAAGATGCAAGTTCAAGAGAGCTGGTGTCCCAGCTTTCTTGAAACCTTCCATGACTTGTGTATTGATATTTTCTTGAATCTCTGATCTATTGACATTCCTTGCTAAAGAGAAAATCATAAAAATAAAGTTGTTAGAGGGTCAAATCATAGATTTCCCTCTACTTCTTTGCAGAAATGTTTGTGTGAAAATTGCTGTTTTACACACTTTAATGAGTAAGAGAAATTTAAGACTGATTTTTCTAGGTGGATTTTTATGAGAAAGAGTAATTTAAAATTACTTAGACAAATGTTCAAAGGAAAATAAACAAGTAAAAAGCAATTATAGAGATATTACAAGGAACAAGAAACTACCTATGTAGGAAATATATTGGTATACTTTATGGCAGTCAAGCTGAGGAGTCATAGTCATTTCTGCCATATAGAGAAGTTTTCAATCAAGTTCCAAAAAACAACAAATTAATTACAACTACCAATCAGAATAAGGGTTAACATTATCCTTCACCCTTTAAGTCCTAGGAGTGATTAACATGTAATTCCTCCATATAATATCAACATATTAACCAGCAAACAGGTAATGAAAATACTCAAACTCATCAGGAAGAAGTTTTTATCTTGATCTTGCACCAAATTCCCGTAACTAATTTACAAGGAATTGAGTAGCAGCAATTGGAGAGAATTAATAATCAGGTCTTGGGAGTTAAAGGGTTAACCAGTAGAACTCAAAGTAAAAATGGACAAAGTGATTGGAGCACGGGAAAACACAAGTCATCAAGTTGGGTTGGTTTTACTTTTAAATCTGATTGGTTGAGAGGGTGGCCTATAAAAAAGCAAAACCAAAGCAACACAGGATCATTTTCGATAGTCTATTAAAAATTGCTCTACACTACCAATGATAAGTTTGCCAATAGGATTCAAAGGGCCATATGGAATAAGCCATTTCTGTAAAACACTTTGCAACCATTTACTTACTTCTTCAATAGCTCTTCTCAAGTTTGATTCTATAACACCTAAGTCGATGTCCTCCATATCATTCTTCTTAAATAGCATTGCTACATCAGGCTCCATAAATGTTGGATGGTACTCTCGGTTAGCTATTCCTTCTAAGTGGTCATAAGATGTCTCATTAACTGAGGATCCACATGTTAACTGGGGTGCAGGAAATAATTCAAGGGATGTAGGACCTACTGCACCGACAACAGGACTGTGAATGAAAAAAAAATCAACAAACTGAACATATTAATTTCAAAAAGATTGTTGGTGAAGAGAAATGTTATTCACTTGCTATAGAGGAAAGAAAGAATATCTGCCTTCCACCAAGAAACAAACTTCAGAAATCTCAGATTTCACAGGCACACACTCTAAACCTGAGCTTGAGAAAACTCATGATCAACCCTTTCAATCCCATGTAACTTCTCCTTACAGTAACCATACATTATCCAGCAAACAGGTAATGAGATCTCTCAAACCCATCAGGTTCAAGTTATTAACATGATCTAACACCAAATTCTTTTTACTGATTGACAAGGAAATGTTTAGCAGCTAAAGAGGAGAGTTTACAATCAGATGTTTGGACTAAAGGCAGATATGGCTCAGATATGGTCCAGATATGAAGTATTTCAAAAAACTAGAAGCCGAAATATTAGAAAATGAAATAACAGTCAAATAATAAATCCCTTATTTGATGGCTTAACATAGAATACAAGCAGATATTTTGCTCATTGACCATATTTTTCCTTGCCCCTACAGGGCTCAGAAAATGCCAAGCAACTTGCACAATATCCATGCATATAACTATAAATTTAGGTGTATGACTGAAGACTGAATCCTCACTGGTGCCTTAAAAGTTTTCTTTGTCTTTATGCAAAAATTTAATGCTTGACATTGTTTGCTGAACAAAGATAATAATGAAAGAAATTCATACAACAAATTATTTGCTTATGATGGCAGCAACATTTAAGCAACACAAATAAGTTTAAATATAATATTTGTGTTGTAACTTTGTATCATATGCAAACTTGACCGCCTCAAATAAATAACCCTTAAGTACTGATAATACCCTCTCTGACCGACCTCATGCCCAGACAAAAATAACTCTTTTGTTTTGACTTCACAGCTGACTTATTCAGACTGAAAATCAGATTCAACTTTTCAAATTTTCTAAAAAAAGAAGACTGAAGACAAAACTGAGAGTTACATTGCCAAAATCAGTTCTGAACTTGTTTAAATATTAATATCAACTTCAAGTTGCCCACAAACTGTTGAAAGCTACTCTAGCTATCAATTATTAATTATCACTTCCTATTTTCCACAACAGACTGCCAAACCATGAGATATCTTAATTAAAAAAACAAATATTACGCATGCTGATGATAGGGAAAATAATTGTCAGTGTGCTGAATGAGGGTATCTTGATCTTCGGAGCTAACTTGAAAATTTTGGAGTCCCCTGTGGCTGTACCATACGCATACGTTTGAAAAGTAATGTAAACAAGCTTATCAAAACTACTGCATGCGAGGGCAGGTGGAGAGGCCATTAAAAAAATTCTGATGACACGCAAAGGTATCGGTGATCGACGTCAAATAATATCGAAAAAACTGTCTCAATTTGGCTCATTCGCTTGAAAAATCGAATGAAGATGAATTTACAACAAAATTTTCCTAGTTTTTCCGACCAAATGTAGCTGCTTATCCACTAAAATAATAATTAAAAAAACTTCTCCGAAACACTGGTTTTTGCTAACATTTGTCAGACTGAGGTGAAACCTGTAAAACTGTATTGATTCATGCAAAACCAAGTAAGTATTTGATGCCTTTTTAAAGTCACCATCGGTTTCCAACCCACTCGATGATGGCTGGTTAATCCGTCGCCAACTAACACATAAACAAGTTCTCATAAAAATAATTCTGCAATCAAAGGAGTAAAAAATACCGAAAAATAATTTCTCTCCTAACAACCAGAGCGGGTTTACAGTTCATTAGTACTTTGTACCGCGAAGACTTCAAATGCAAATTAAACACGTTGCCTCATTCGTGTTTATCTCGTGGCTTCAACTGAACGTCACAAACTTCAAAATCATAACTTCAGATTTAATTTTAAAATAATCCGCTTAACAGAAATAATTCTTGTAGCGAAAAAAATGGAAGAAAGTGACACGTGAAAAACAGGAGTAATCTTCGTGATCGGCCGTGTCCGTAATATGCGCTATGCATGGCCTTGCCGCACGTCAAAACAAACCAAGTTTACACTTGCCAATTAAAGGCTACTTTAGTCTACAATTTCACGGATACACTCACCTCAGTCCCTGAGATCTGCCCTTATTGCACTGGTCGCAGTTTGTTTTCCTACCGCTTCCCGTCTTAGGAGGGTTAGTTTTCGTTAGAATCAATAACACGGGGTCGGATTTCAGAATATCACCTTCACTGCTGGCCCGTACGACTCCATCTCGTTCGTTTAGAATCCAGTGTGTAGCCCCCATAGTATCTGAACTCCATAAACTGGCCGAGACAATGTACAGAGCCAGGTACGGGAAATACGGGTAATCCCCACTCATCGCTGGGGTTGCAACAAGGGTGAATTATATTGAAAGTACAAAAGGATTATGGAACAACATACACACATACAAAATCGACTTTTGGTAACGCTCCCACTGAGCATGCCCTGTGAGTTCTCTACTATAGCAAAATGAAGTGAGGTATCCCGGATTGAAAACAAAGAGCTCCTAGACGGGTTACTTTTAGTCGCTATGGGTAACACAGCGGTAAAATCGTCTATGATATTTTCTGGTTTCAGAGTACTCCATTTTTCTGGTAATTCTATGTCTGGTGTAATACGAACAATAAAAGAAGATAACATGGGGAATACTCAAACTAACGCCTCAATTTTTTAAAACTTGTGACTAAACATCTAAAACGTGGGAACAACTTTAGTGCCTTTTTCCGGGGGGTAGAGGGGGTGGGGTAAAATTTAGAGTTTTTCCACACCTGGATAGATTTCCTAGGATATTGTTTTAGGAACAAAAGGGTTCATCAGTTTCAATATTGCAAATTATCATCCCCACACATTGCGTCTCATGTGGGAGTCGTTTCCAGTCATTTCGCGATGCCATATAGTTACATATACTGAATAGAGGGGGTAAGTTTCTTAAGAAACTGTAGTGCTGCGTCGGTGGGGAGTATGACTAGATAATTTGGTTTTATCAACTGAGTTGATAATGTAAATTGGCCACCGTAAGAGTTTCTAAGCTGACGTTTCGAGCGTTCGTCCTTCGTCAGAGCGAATGAGACAGTCAGCTAGAAAGACAAACACACATACAGAGAGACGGACGGACAAAGGGACAGACAGGCAGGCAGACAGACAGACGGATAGGCGCTGCAGACAGTCAGACGAACAGATAGATAGCCAAAGAGACACACGGACGGACACAGACATAAGCAAGAAAACGAGCAGATACGCAGACAAGTAGAGAGACCAGGGACAGACGGACGGACAGAGAGACAGACCAGCAAAATACAAGCAAGCAACCATACAGAGTTAATCCAGTATCTTTCACTAATATGATAATAATAACAATAATCGGGATCATTAATAGAGAAACTGAACTACACTTGCACACATGCACATGGTCCTAAAATAGTCGGAGTGCGCACCTACCCGAGACGCTTAGTTAACTTGGGTTTAGGGCTACGAAGTCAGAGATTACATCTCTTTGATTCTGCAAGACTTGAGATAGTCTTGAACTTTTGCACTACTTTTTAATCAATTACAATCAAAACTAAAGCCAGTCGTGATTGGCCACTTGAGTTTTTATGTTCTATGAGCAGATTACACGTATTCATAACTTCGAGTTCACATTGGCTCTCGGCGATAATTACCTTTTCTTTGATTGGCTGTTGCGATTGCTTTAGATGTACTTTACTGGGCCACGTGATTAGTTTTAAACTGACTCAACCCATCACATGCAAACTAAAACCAAGCACGACTTGATCACGCACTTCTCACTGAGAATTCTCAATGCAAGGGTCTTCATTAAACTTTCATTCCCCACCATTGGCGATGATGAATATCTTTCGCTCTAGGTGTTGCACCCTGAGCACAAAACTTCACACAGATCCTCTCTGACAATTCTTCCCTTAGTTTATTCCACAAGGAAATAAATTCATTGTTGAATTGTAACATCTAACTAAGTTACAACGCACTTACAATAATGGTCAGAAGTGGAACCAGCCAGATACATGTATATTGATCAAGCCAATCAATGATAATTTATAGCCTCAATCTAGCAAATATCCAATCTAGTAAATAAATATACCGGTATATCTATAAATAATGTAAAATCTGCGTTAGTGTATTCAGTAGAAGGTAATGTGTCAGTTACATTTATTGCAAAACTCGTTAAAAACAGCGATGATGCCTTGACGTGTGAAAAGTATTGCGATTGCCGCAAATGCGTCTAAGATTTAATGAATAAATAACCTACGTAAGCTAATTCAAATTAGTAATTGATGCAATAATGAGTTCTGTTAACATTTTAAAATTTTGTTAAGTGTAAAAAGATTCTGCGAGAGGAACACGACGCTGGTGATTACGACGGCTAGCACACAAGAGTAGTCCTGCGTGAGAGAGGAGCGTGTCTGCTCTCTCTTGCACGCGGCTCTTTCGATCTTTCCGGGCTTTCACGCAGGCTAAGTAGTGAAACGACTTTAGAGTTTCTTCATCATAGTTCCATAACAACGCCAACAGGATGAACGACGAAAGAAATTTCCAGGAAGAAATTTCCAAGGGCCTCTTCTAAGGTACTTCTGACCTGTATATGAGAGAAGAAATAGTCATCAAATCAATGCGAAACTTGCTAGTTGAAGTACGTCTTTCCGTCATACACTTCTATACTTGATCTAAACACTTCTAAATAGTCTCCTTGGACCTTCATGTATCCTTGCGCAACGTTCCTTGCCACTGACGGTACGTTACGCAACATTTTTCGCACTATGTTTTGTCAAGCACAGCCTACCACCCACCTCAATTTGTCAGGTTACCCTGAAAATTTTGCAGGTATATTCACCCTTTAACCCCCAAGAATGATTTAAGCATCTGATTTCTCTAAACAGTATCACCAATAAATCAAACATTAGGGTCACGAGAATATAGTAAATTATTACAAACTCAAGAAGCTCTTGACTGTTAGACAAATTCTCCTAACAAGTACTATAGGAAATGTATAAATAACAGTATGGAGAACTTGCATGCTGATGTTAGGATGTAAAGGGTGAACATACTCAAACTTCTAGGGGGGATAAGAACCCAGACTTGTCCAACCAAAGAACAGCATGCTTACCATTATGCTACTACATTTCCTTTTACTCTCAAGTAGAATTTGCTCATCAAAATGGTGCCAAGCCTTACATTTGAGGCTTACCTTTAATGAGTGTTCAAAGTCACAGTACACCCACACCTCATCTTGCAATGTCTGTAAAAAGCCACATGAATCTGAGTTCACTGCTTAGTAGTCTGTAGCAAGTTACCTATCACAGTTCCACTATGTTTCCTAACAGTTCACAAGTAATCCATTTAAACTAATAATAGACAAGTAATCCATCTAAACTAATGATAGAAAAGCTGTTATGGTTGAAAGTCTTTCCCTAGATTACATGCCTTGTCTTAGTGTTATTACTGGCAATATCAGCACATTTCTCAACATACATAAGAATACTCCATGGTTAAATTCCTGACCTGAAGTTTTGCATTGCAGTAAGGAAGACGACCTTCTTGGATCAATGAGCATACTTTCTTCCAAAGTTGTTTTATTGTGAAATTCTCCTCTGTATTGCAAAAAAGAACACCTCTATGATTAATCATACCTGACCCAAGCCTAATTCTAATGCGACAACCAATTTGAAGCTTCAACATCCCCCCCTCCCCCCTCAGCAATCCCCAAGGCATTTGAACTTTTGTAGATTGGTTTGTTCAAATTCCTGCTCCCCAGTGTGAAATTGTGTTCAAGTACCACACCCAAGTGCCGGATTTCATCATCAATATTTTATAAAAGCAAAATCAGCGACAATGACTTTAAACAAATACTATACTATAGATAGACTATACTATAGATACTTCTATATAGTATACTATACTATATATAAACTCTTCAAAGATACCAAGGCAATCACATGATAAGGACATAATTAGAATGAATGACTCTATTGACAAACTTAAACTGGTATATATAAAAGAAGGTAATTCATGTACCTTTTAAGGAACCTTTTTTGGCACAAACAATCCATTTTCCTCGTTGATGATAATCCAATCCATACTGTTGCTTCACTTGGAGAAGGTCTGTCTCCTTGAATTTTTCCAAAACAGTCTCTTTTTCTTTCCCTTTCCTGCAATTGATATGTGGAGGACTGACACACCACAACTTGACATAGGAAAGAAAAGAATAATTTAGCCAAAATTAACAAAAATTTCAAGTAACCCAAAATAATGATCTTTGTTTCTTAGTGAACATTACCAATAAGTCTACAGATGTATTAGATTAACATCCAGCTAAGTCCCAGGATCCATCTGGTAACTCACCCAATTGATGGTCATAACTTTCCTTGTAAATTAGGGAAGAGAATCTGACTCGAGTTGTTTGAAGGTTGGATAGCAATATCCACTGAATACAACACTTATCCACTGGATAGCCATTTATCCTTTGGATATTCCATTGAATAACTGGGCTTTGGTGTTATTTCAAGACAACACCCCCTTGCTGATAAGTTTGACTGTTCTCGTAATTTTTTCGCAAAATAATATTTGAATTGTGTGGATAAGAGTATAAACAGAAGGTGAAAAGTAAGGGGATCAAACAAGATAGCTTTTGTGTGTTTCTCTATCTTTTCCAACACTTACTGATTTGGCTGAGGTATTTATAGGATTTAGAGCTTCCTCCAACAGTTTGCTCTTTCCACTTCCACATTTAGAACAATCTACACTACCACCCCTACTCCAGGGGCTATGGTGTTCTGCAGGATGATTGTTACATGTTCTGCTCACAATCTTCTCTTTGTCATCACAACTACCCTGATGATCACCTTTCTTCAGCTGTGCTTTTTTTAAGCCTGATTTACCAGAATACACAGGTGAAAAGTCAAGTAAGTTGTCACTTGTTGATAAGAAGTTTTGCCTTAAAACTGATGATTGGTTTGGTGTCAGTTCTGAAATCACTGTCAACTTTGGGGGAAGTACCTTGAAGCACAAACAGGTTAAGGTACTCTCATCTATAAAGAAAGAAACAAGAAGAAATATTAACCTGTTAAACCCTAGGAGTGACCAGCATCTAATTTCTCTTAACAGCACTACTGCTGAATCATTCATCAAGAACTGTCATTTGATAACAATAAAGGAAATGACTGCCAACTTTATGAGCTTTGATTGTTAACCGAGTTCTCCTTGTCAGTACCAAAGGAAATGAATAGGGTAAAGTATAGAGAATACAGATACTGATGTTGGGCTGTAAAAGGTTAATGCAATACTGTCATTTCTGCAATAAACCTCTGTCTGTATTCCCATTCCTGCATTTCCCTAAAAAAGAAAATCTCCATTACAGTAGTAGTGTTGTTATCCATTTGGACTTGGTAGCACTTCATCATAATAATAATTACCTAATTTGCATGTGTTTGAACAATTTTTACAAATTTTCCACTTAGCAAAGAAATGTAGATTGTATGAGGTTTTCATTAACTCAGGGCAACATTTCAAAGGAGAAAAATTAATTACAAAATTTCCCTTTGTATTTTTCTTATTAATTGAGCACCATTCTCTGATGAGGTCCTCTCTGGAAGCCCTAGAAATAAAAGTGGTAGGAGAGGGAGCTTTTTGCAGCTTTCATAGTATTATACTATGATTCCAAAGGATGGAAAAGCTGTAGTTTTATTAAATGCCATTTGGTAACTGAAAGAGCTTTTATATCACAATAATGGTTAAAATCTCAGAGAAATTCAAAAGAAACACAGAAGAAGCCAAACAATAATTATCTCTTCTAATTTGTCTAACCTTTTGCGCAACAACATCGGCAGTATATTCTACGCAAAGTTCTTTATAAGTTCCCTATGGCACCCACAAGGAAGACTGATGAGTTAACAAGTCCTCAAATTGCCCAAAATGCCCTTCAAATTCACTCCAAAACACTTGTTTTAGGTTAGTAACATGACTGTCTTAAAAAAACTGTGGCAAGTAATTTAGAGTTAACAACTGAGTTGAAAACATAAATTGGCCACCATAAAGAGTTAAAAGGCTGACGTTTTGAGTGTTAGCCCTTTGTCAGAGTGATCACTCTGATGAAGGGCTAACACTCCAAATGTCAATACCCTTATTCATTTATAAAACTGTGTCCTGCAAAGCCCCAAAAAACAAGAAGTTAAAAGTCAAAAATGAGGGCAAGTGCTTAATCCCAGGAACCAAACACTAAGAAACAGATGGTGTTTGGAACCTGTGATGAAGCAGAAAGCCCAAGTTTTTGACATGTCTTCTCAAATGAAACCTTAGGAAATTGAACAGTGACACGTTTTCTCAAATCAAACAATGATTAATTATGCATTGTTACATTTTTGCCCTTTACTGAAAAAACACATTTGAATGCTACAACATTTTAGCTTTCATTTGATGAAAGTTTCATGCGGTTTCATCTGTTTTCCCCGTACGTAAACTGATCAATCTCAGTGGCATCAAAGTGTTTTATTTATTTAACGGTTAACGTTCCATACTTGAGACACGACATAAAGTTTGAGTTCCTTTCGTCGTATTTGTTCGCGCTTCTTATTTCGCAAAACACTACCACAACTTAGCTTTCATTCGATGTAGTTGCCTCCGGTGGCGATTTAATTCTTTGTGGTGGCGAGTTTTTTTGTGGTGAGTTTGTTGCGGTGGCCACTATTGACCGTAAACGATCAGGAGATGCAAGTGGTATGATTGGGCACAGCAAGAGCTTACACTTACCATACCATGGCTTAAATTCTCTGGAGGGAATATGCCTCAGTCTTTTATAATCACAAAAGCCTGACAGCAAATTTCTTGCAACATCATATGGATCTGGCAAGGAAGTCACATCAGCTGAAGAGCAAACACAGCTGCCCAAAACTGACTGATGTACTGCGATAACATCATTTGAGCCCATAGATAAGAAACCAGAGCCCCCTTAAAAGCATTAAAACAGATTTTCTGTCACCAAGACACCGCTTAGCTCGAGCATTTTGTTATAAACGATACGATTTCAAATTAGAACTCAAAACACCGCAGCCGCCATTTTTTCTATCGCTCCAGTCCTCCTTTGGGAAACGTTTCAATTTTGTACGGGGGGAAGTCTGGGCTGGTTGTTCTAATTTCAACATGGAGGACTATGAAAGTGTTCTGTGTGTTAAGAATGAATGTTTTATTTACAAAATTCCTCCGAGAACAAGCAACCGAGGATACAGGTACTCAGATACGTTCCTTTAGCATGATTTTTTTGTCTCTGAACTTATCTGATCTTTACGCGTTCACGGGTTAACTGGAAAGAGCCATTTGGGAAAAATTCATTTTTTTCTTCCTGTTTGGATATTTGACTATAGGGAATATCCAGAATCCAAATTGAAAGATAAATGAAAAATACTTGTTTTCCGAAAATCCGCGCTCATAATTACAAATGCCTTTTATAATTCTTGAAATGTTATGCGTAAATTATACAACTTCGATGAATGTTATGTAGAAATAATATCAAATTACCAATTAGTGAATACGTAGCGTTCGCTCTAATTTATATTAGCATTAACTATGCTCACGCTGTCTTAAAATGTACTTCACTTTCACCTTAAATTGGCCTCAACTGATTAAATTTTAGGCTCATCTTGAAGGTTTTTAGGACAGCATTAACAACCATGAAAAAGTTGTCAATTATTGTGATCAAATTTTGGGCGTTAGTCTTCACCTTCTTCCTTCCGAGGTTGATGGAAGTCGATCTTTAAGTAGAGAACATTGTTTTTATAAAGTAAATAAACTTAATGCCCCTCCCTAGGTGCATGAGAAAATCTTTACAGAAGGGATGGTTTTGAAAGTAATGTACAAAAAAAGAAAGGAAAAAAACATTGTCTATCATTAAGGGAGTCCCTGGATTATTAATTAAAAGCACAAGTAACCTTTGATAAACTAATAGATTTTCCTTTCCATCTGCCTTCTGCTTAATTAAGCATTAAAGTGCACTTTGTATTGGTTTACTGTCATAGTAATCTATACTGGAGGTTTGGAGAACACATGAAAAGTTTGTAAATCTAATTGGTAACCTATCATGGATTGACATCCCATCCAGGGGGAGAGGAAATACTCCTCTTTGCTTCCTGCTACCCACTCTGTGATAAGCTGTACCAGCATGGGTCTCTTGGCTCAAATGTCAATTTCTTGCTTTCTCAGAGCTGCAGACTGGAAACTTGATCAGCCAGATTGGACTGGAAGGTTAAGAGTCTGTGCAAAGGGAAAGGAGTGTTACATCAAGATTGAGGACAAGACAAGTGGTAAGTTGTATCAATTAAAGGTGACTTCTAGAATAAATAATCAACATGTAAGAATGAGAAGGTTACCAGTCAGAGGGTGTGAGGTATGGAAGCTAAAAATTTTAAAACATCCTGGGCAAACAGAAAGGAAGAAGCAGGGTTTCAATTAGAAGCTGGTTACTGGCAGTCTACCATCACCTGTGAGCAAGTTCTTGTCTTTGAATTTCACCTTAGAGTCCTTTTTAGGGTATGACTGCCTCTTTGCCCCCTAACCCTTTAACACCTAAGAGTAACTAGCATGTAATTTCTCCTAACAATTTAACCTCTGAATAAAACATTAATGTTACAAGAATTGAGGAAATGATCACCAACTAAAGAAGCTGTGGATTATGAAACAAATTCTCCTTATCAGTAACCTAAGGAATGTATAGGGAACAGTATAGAGAATATGCATACTGATATTAGTGTGGAAAGGGTTAAGCAAGCATTTAAAGAAAAAGCTATTGAAATCCCTGGAAGAAGGCCAAGAACAGATCACTGTTGGCAACATTTACTTCGCATGTTGTTTCAATCAGTAAAGTTAGTTTTTCAAGAAAATATCCCATATCCCTTTAAATTCACAATTATATCAACTATAGAATGGGAACTTGATTATAGAAAAATTGCTCAACCCAAAGGTTCTACTCCTGTTATTTTTGTGTTCAGGTGAACTCTTTGCTAAGTGTCCTGTAGATGATTACCCAGGGATTGCAGTGGAAGGTGTTCTAGATAGCAGCCGTTACTTTGTCTTGAAAATTGTGAATGATGGTGGTATGTGCTATTCAGTGTATTTTTATTTAGGAAGCATTTAGTAATAATCATAATGTTTTATTTCATGTTCACTTAATTAAGTTTAAACCTTTGAAAGCCCACTGAGCTAAATCTGCGGTATTTACAAACAACTTAATCTTTTTTCATTTGGTACATTTCTCCTGACCAGTTCACCATTTAAACCCTCAGGGTGACCAGAATTTAATTTCTCCTCACAGTAATATCGCTGAATTATTTATTAAGATGTTGAGAATAAAGAAATGATCATCAGCCTAAGAAGCTTTGATTGTTAAACAAATTCTCCTTGTCAGAAACAAAGGAGATGTGTAGAGAACATTGTAGAGAATATGGTTACTGTCATTTAGCTGTCTGTCTATACATGCTTTCATTTGTTGATTGATTCATTCACAGCATTTGAGCAGAGTATTTTGATGGAAATATTTTGGTTATAATTGCAGGTCGACATGCTTTTATTGGAATGGGTTTCACAGACAGAGGAGATAGCTTTGATTTTAATGTAGCATTGCAAGACCACTTCAAGTATGTTGATATGCAGATTGTTTTATCATGTGTGGAATTTTTTTCCAATAATTTTTTTTTGTCATTGAAAATATCTTATCTACATGTTGATCTCAATTTGAGTTGGAGAAGGTGGGAAATAGCTGGGCAAGAAACATTAAAAAGTTGCTCACTTCTCAAAGACCACTAATGGCCTTACTATGCTCATTGTCACAACATGACCATTATTGTATATTCAACCAAACCACACCAGCATATCACGCAAAAATTGAGAATTATACCATTAGTAAGGTTTATTGACAAGACCAATGAGAGGACAGAACAACTTAAAACCTGTCATTAGTAGTAATGGTTTTTTTCAATTTTTTTGTTTTTTAACACAGAGGTTATGTGGTCATAATGTCTAAAAACTTGATTATCTTTTTCTTTTGGGAAAAGTGAATATAATTTTCAGGATCACATCAATATTTACTTTTATGAAAAATTTATAGTATTTCCAAGTATTGATATAAAAACCATTGAAAATACAAGGGAATACTATGGTACTGGTCTTACCTTAAGGTTATTTAAAATTGAAAATGATAATTGATAAATACTTGTTATAGGAAATATGGATTTTTACATGTACCGTTCTATCAAATTTAGATTGGAATTCCATATTTTTTGGATGACCTGTATTTTGTTTATATTTACTCTTGTGTCATACATAGATGGTTGAAACAGAGTGAAAAACTTGCTGCAGAAGCTGAACAACCTGATCTTACTCCAAAATTAGACTTGGGCTTCAAAGAAGGTCAAACAATTCACATTAATCTTGGGGTGAGTTGGACTGTCTCTCGCAATTAAATACACTCAGAAATAAAGCTTAACCCTTTAACTCCCAAGATCTGATTGTTAATTCTCCCATCTAGCTGCTACACACTTCCTTGTCAATCAGTTTCATGAATTTGGTCTTGAATCAAGATCACAATTTCTACCTGACAAGTTTGAATATTCTCAATTCCTGTTTGCTGAATAATGTATGGATATTATGCAGAAAAGTTACAGGTTTATTACTTGGGATGCAATAAATGAAAGTCTACTACAGTAGGCCTCCAAGATATTCAATACAGTGTACATCATGTTCCATGTGTACACATAGCAATGATACTTTCCCATTTCCTTGCTGCAGTCATAAAAATTAATTCAAAGCACTTTGTGCAACTTGTTCTGGGAAATAAATTTTGCAGTGGGGACCTATATTACAAGACAAGTTGTCCACATTGCATGCAAAAAATTGTTGTTGAGGTATTTCCTTATACTATGTAGCTGTAACTCATGACTGAATGTGTGTCTACTTAAAAAGCCCCAACCAGTAAGAAAATCTAAACAGAAAAAAAAACATGGAAACCATTACTGCACCATCATGTTTTTGGTCAATCCTCATACTCTGAAGGCTTCATTTCAGACAAAGTTCCAATATTGATCACATCATATTGCTGGGCATTGCCTTTGCCCTTCTCTCAAGGGGATACTGACATTGCATTACATTGTTTACGTCATTTTGCTTCCAACTTCGAGGAGATTAGTAGAATATTGGCACTGTGAGACAGAAAAACACAAAAGAGCAATCATTATGATAAACAAGCAACAAGTAGGGCTAAGAATGGAGAGGGTAAAAACATGTTATGAAAGACAGTGTTTTTCAAGATGCCTCAACTGTGATGTAGCTCCTTTGTCATATTTCAAGAACATTCAATAAGTAAAATGTGATTTTAACTTTTCAGAATCGTGCACCTGGTGCAAGTGCAACAAGCCGTCCTAAGCCAGGTATGCCTGATTTGATACTAACAAATTAATGAACAATTTTTGGATAATTGTGAGTTTTGTGAATGATATAATTTTATTGCTATAGAAATGTATGCAGGAAGGATTTGAAAATTCATATATTATTTAAAGAATAATTTTATATGATGTGACATCTTCAGATAAGTAATCTGTTGAAATGAGGTTTCATCCAGTTTCTGACAAATGTAATACCCACCATACACAGTTTTTTTATTTAGTGTGATCAATCCATTTTCAGCATTTGAATAGATCTGTGACAACCATGGTTATGCTCAATACATGTGACTTTACTCATAGTCTGGAAAATTAAAGCATTAATGGTTTGGATAAAGTGTGGCAAAGTCTTGGATTTTGCTCACACCAATGCTTGTGGAGGAGGAATGTAGAAAGGGAAACGGTGGACTGAGGCTGGACATGGGGGTTGCTTGACCTGCTGGTAACTGGCAGAAATTAATGGTGTTCTCTGCCGGAGGCCTTAGATGCACAGACACACAAAGAGGACTAACTAACTAAATTAAATGCTTTTGATCTAGCCATAAGGCAACTTTGTCTTAATATAATTCAGAATTCACTTGCCTGACTATGTTACACACCTGGAAGATCATGCAGCTTTATCTCTAAAAAA